GACAGAGAGACAGACAGAGAGACAGCTCCGGTTCCACGATCATGATTTAAAGGGGCGATGCTTAAGACACCTCTTGTATCCTCTTGTCTTGAGTCTCTCACCGTTGCCTTTCCTTTGTCAGCATCTTACCTACCAGAACTGCCATCGTGTAAAAATCGCATCTTCGCACATGTCCATTGGACTTCGAGCCATGAGAATGCACTCCACGATGCGCTGTCAGATGCACAATGACGTGACCCTCCGGGTAGCAGCCGAGAACGGTCGCACCTCGGCTCCAGAGATAGTATATGAGATGAAAGCATCCATTTCCTTCAAATTCTATGTGACCAAAGGTGCGATGCCAACACTGTGGCCGGCTGTAGAGGACTTTGCTGTACTCGTGTGTCCCATGCGCTCTCAGAGACAGATGCCGACCGTTAAACTTGGCACGAACGAAGGACTGCCGAGCTTGCCGGATTCAGCCGGTACGTGGGTGAGAGCCTGAGCCAGCCAAGGATCAGACAGAATCTTTCAGCACCGGCCGTCCCTGCCTTGACGTGCCTGACCCGAAGCCCAAGCATTGGAGTAGGTTCGCGTATAACTTCACTGCAGTATAAAAGAGTTTCGTGCCAGTTCAGGCAGGTGAAGATACTTGAGCTTATCTCGCGCATTGGGGTTGCAACGCACAGATGCACACAGGCCATTGGCCTCGGCCGCACAGCACTCCATCATTTGATTTCAAGGTCCTCGTACTTGTATGAGACTGCTGCAGCATGAATGCCGCAGTGTGACTAGCCAGAAGAGTAGGTGAAAGCTTTAGCCATGTGTACCCGACTGTCACTCGAAGAAGCAGAATCAGACGGACTTGGCCACCAGCTGACTTGTCAATATTGTAGGATGTTTTCATTCACGGTGCTTCCGGCCCATGACCGGCTTTGTGCTGAAGTGACGACTGAGCTGTGTCGTTCGGTGCTGCATTATAGCCTGATGCAGGAACAACGTATCACTGCGCTTCGACGAAGTGGCCGTGCTGGCTCATCTTCGTCTCTCAGCTGAAGTCTGCGAGCTGTGACTGTTTCGCGAAGAGTAGAATCGAGCTCTTCACGAGTGACAGAGGCTCTGAATATTGGAGCTCCGAGTCGCGGCCTAACGCGGCTCCAAGTCGGTGAAACAGCTGAAGCTCAGATGATTCCAAGGTGGCAGCAATTCCATGAAGGACTGGCACCGCCTCAAATTCCTGCCAAGCTCGCTGTGAGCAGTCGTTTTTTCAATCTGTGTGTCAGCATGGTCGATCGCAAATTAAATCGAAGAAGAAAGCAGTTGCGGTTTGGACGACCCAGCTGAGATAGCAATGGCCTAATCCGCGCGCAGGACCTTCCTTGGTGGCAGGCGCCTTGTGAGTCGACAGTGCGAGTGTCGCATTCACGCCTGCGGTCCGTTGAGGGAGCGTGCAGCTGTAGCACCGCTGCTAGTGATGCTAGTGCTAGTGTAGCTCAAGATCTGACAGTCAATCAAGTCCTTCCCGAACCCTTACTTGCGGGTTCTCATGTCTCCACTACCTTGACTTGAGCAAATGCTGAAAGTCTGTAAGTAGAGCATTGATGTCAGGCTCCATGGCCGAGGGCATTCTCGGCGTGTTGCTGTTGACCCTTTGTCTTGTCACTCCACTGCATTTAGTGATTTGACCAAAGCTCTTGCCTCGCTCGCAGCTTTGAGGTCTTTGTGACGATTCGATCGCTTCGCTTCTGTCGAAGAGGCCCTGAGTCCGAACCGGTCGCTTCCTTTGTTTGGCAGCCTTTCAGAACTCCAAGAGGCAAAGAAGCCAAAGGCAGCTAAGACGACGAGGAGGATGCCGAGCCCAAGCCGCGGCCGAGGCCCTCCGACGCCTGCCGTCAGCACAGCTCCGATTGCGAATGCAAAGGGGTACCCAATTTTTTTGGCACTTTATTTCTTTATTTTTCATTTTTGGCAATTTTTGTCGGTGAGGGGGGGGAGCGGGGGCTCTTTGTATTTCCATAGGATATTGTAATAGCAAAAACCATCTATTTTCCTCTATTCTTTCTTTCATGGGAATTGAAGGGAAGAAGGTAGGGACAGAACGAAACAACGACAGAACGAAGGAAAGAAGGAACGAAAATTCAACACATGAAATAGTCAAAGGAAGAAATACCGAAAGAGATAAAGAGAGAAATAACGAAAGAAAAACTAACTAGATAAAGAAAGAAGGAGTTGGGGGGCGAGCCGTGCAAGGCTTCAAAGCCTTCAAAGCATATGAGTCTTTGTGAACCCCATCATACGAGCATTGTGTTTGCAACTGGCACGGGGCTGCGCCCCCAAGCCGCTGCTTTTTTCAGCCTTGCAAGCTTGCTTCAAAGCAGTTTCCGCAAGTGGGGGGCTTACCCCCTCGCCCCCCCGCCCAACTCCCCCGCTGTTTTGAGCCATGCAAGCTTGCCTCACAGCATACAAGTCTTTTGTGACACCCATCACGCGAGCATTCTGTTTGCAAATGGCGGGGGGGCTGCGCCAACCCCCCCGCTGTTTTAAGGCATGCAAGTTTGCTTCAAATCAGCCTCTTTGAAACCCAGCATGCGAGCATTCTGTTTCCAAATGATGGGGGCAGCGGCCCAACCAGAACCGTGCAAGCTTGCTTCAAAGCATATTGAAACCCATCATGCGAGCATTGCCAATGGGGGGGCTGCGACCTCCCCAACCCCCCCTTTCTTAAGCTGTTCACGCTTGCTTCCAAGCATGTGAGTGTTTTTGAATCCTATCATGCGAGCATTCTATTTGCACCTGGGGCTGTCTTAAGCCGTGCAAGTTGGCTTCAAAGTATTTGAGTTTCCTTTCTTCAAACCCATCATGCGATCATTGTGTTTGCTGGCCCCTCCGCGACCCCCCCCGGAAACATCGGAAAACAGAGGTTATCCATTAAGTGGAATTACAGGTCTTCCTAAAATAGAGATGTACTTTTTAAACCATAGAAATTAGGAAGAAGGGTTTGTTTGCCTCATGAAATATCGAGAAAAAAGAGGTTTTCCTAGCAATGTATAGAAAGTGCTAGTAAAACATATAGCACATGTAGGATGTCCTATATGAGCATATAGCGAATGTAGAGATTTTCCCATGGAAGTACAGAAAGCCACCCCCTCCATTAAAAAAGCCAACAATAAAAGATAAAGAGGGCCAACAACAAGTCTCCACCCAATGCAAGCCATGTTGCCTCCGTTTTTTGCTCGTGCGACACGCTGGCATGTGCTGGGTCTGCAGGTTGCGACTGCCGCGACTGAGAACGACGCAAACCGTGGCAGACGCGGCGCCGAGCCGTTGGACGTCCTTGCACCGGGTGCTGTTGAAGACGGAGCTCTTATCGTGTGCTATTGAAGACGTAGTTCGGTATGCGGCTCTCCGATCCAGTGAGACGGATATGTTGGACGCCTTCTTCTGTGACGGGCATCCTGGAAAACAGTGTCCGAATGCAACGGAGCATGGGTCAGAGCATTCAGATCGCGATTTCGGCACATGATCTCATCAAAGCAGCTGAGCTGTCAGGATGGCCTTCCCTCGTGCCTACTCGAGCATCAGCCACGACCAGATGCTCAGACAGGAAACCGAAGGGTCGTCCCACTAAGTCATGACATGGGGGACGGATCCTCGGGGGGCCCCTGTAGGCGAGCACGTACTGGGACTCCGACGCGACGCGGACACGACGTGCCTTCGGCCACCGTAAAATCCACACTCCTCCCGGCCTTTTGAGTCTCTGCGATGTGCTGACGATGGTGCCCAGGCTGGCGTGCGCATTCACCCGAAGTGGATTCTGGAACACCCCGAGTGCATGCAAGAGTCATGTGACGCGCTTGGAAGGGGCATCTTCAACACCTGGTTTTCCTTGTGCAGTCAGTTGTCTTTCTGTCTCGGTGTCGTCCATGTTGGCAGTCGGAGGCCTCAATCACCAGGGGGCCAGCTTCCACGGGCCTGGTCAGCTGCAGCTGCCCCAATCCGAAACAGTGTGCAATGATCTTGATCTGCGGCGATGCATATGCCGTTTCGAAGTTGGAGTTGCTTTGGAATCATCCGAAGCTGGGGCCCTGCAAAAGCGCGTCGAGGTCACTTGGTGCAGCAGTGGGCTGCACAATGGACAAGCCCAGGTGCTGACCTACGACATGTTAGACAACAGCTTCTGCTTCCCTTAAGACTGTATCGAAGTCTGCATTTGGAAGGTGACCGCACCCCCAACCTCTCTGCAGATGCCCAAATTGCTAGAACCGTTCTGGCCTCAGAGTCCGCTTACGCAGCGCTTGGCCTTGTTTACAGCCGTTGGACACCAGGAATCCCACGTCTTACCATCTCCCGCAGCCTCCAAAAGCAGTCGCGCCTTGGCTGAAGCTCGAGCCCGGAGAGTCGAGACGGTACACAGACGGGAGGTTGAGAGTTGTGAAATGGCAATCGATGTTTCACTGCTGAGGTGGTGCAAGGCCACGCGCAACGAATAGTCCGAAGCTCGGGAGTGCAAAATACATAGTGATAATTTAAGAATTGTTCAGAGTTAAGACTTGTCTGTCCTTCCTAGGCTGGATTTGCAGGCCCTCCCGTGCTTTCGGTCTTCTGCGATGTTTCGGACAGGCTAGGAGAGGCTGACAGGCCTGTTTCATCGCAGGCTTGCAGAGCCCACGGCCACGGCCGCAGCAGCCAAGGCCACAATGGGGGTGGGAGAGGCTTCCGAGGTCGTCATCCAATACAGGGCCTGCAAATGTTCCTTTGCTTGATCACTGATGAGCTGATGGGCAAAAGTGGTTCGTGCTAACTGTTCTGAGCCGCCTGTTAATTGATTTCTTTCGTCAGGTTGATCAGCAGCCCGCCGCAAAGCTGCGCTCCCAATGATTGCTCTTGGCCAAGGCAGCCATGCCCGTTTTTGAGAGGTCCAGCCCGAGCGACCACGTCCATTTCTGCACTGGTTGGATGCAGTGGCCCTGACCGGAAAGCGCGCGCTTCTGGTCCGGGCCAGGGGCAGACCCTGCCTTAGATGACTTGGTCTTTCTTAGCATCTACACTTCCGACCTGCTGCGCAACAGGTCCACTTCGCGTTCTGGTGCTGCACAGCCCATGGGCTCTGCAGTTGCTGACGACTCGTCTGATCAGACCCTTGCGAGGAGTGAGAGCTGAGGGAGTGCTGAGGAGAGGCGAAGCAGTGAAGCCGGCGAAGCCGAGGAGAGCTTTGGCACTTGCACGCGCCTGAACTCCGCCTCACCCAAGTAAGAGCAGTTGAGGCTCAAGCGCCCCAGCTCCTCCAAGGCTTTAGTTAACACACATGCTTATGTGACTTATGTGCTCATGGCCTCCAAGCCTTATGGCCTCTTTGTGGCCGGGTACGACCTGGCCAACCTTGCAGGCACCGATTTCTTTCATACCTCTGTCGTCCTCTGTCCAGCTGCAGCGCATTTGAGCCGAGAACCCGTTCAAGACAGTCAGAAGTTGCACGAGTCTCTTGAGAGAGAAGGTTGTGAAGAGATGATATTTGACCGCAAAGAACATGGAATTTGGTTAAACAGAAATCTTGGCCGCTGGAGCCTTGAAGACAATGAGCGAATGATGGTGCACTGGAGGCCTGCGGGAGAAGTGCAGCTGCCTGCTACGACTACTAAGAAGGCCACCGAGGCATTGAAGGAATGGGCAGCCGATTCCGAAAACTTCTCGGCTGGAACCTACAACTTGTTGAACCACAACTGCAACAGTTTCACGTCCTCCGTGCTGCGCAAGACCGGCTTTGATCCAGAGCAAGTGCTCGCCTGCGGTCGATTCAGGAATGCCTCAAAGAAGATCCCTTGCCTCGCACCCGAACAGGCCACACTAAGCCCAGAGACCCACAGGCGCTTTCTCACTTTCTTATGATTGCTGGAACTTTCGCTCATCTTCATCAACGAGCTAAGCCATGCTCAGCCTTCCTAGCCCCGTTCGCAGTTCGTTCGCCCATCACCGCAGCGGGCTGGGTTCCAGATGAGCTCTAGGTGAACTGTGAGCCATGACTGTGTCGTGGTGGGGCGGCTGGCTTTGATCTGGTTTAGGCTACGCCTAGTGCAGTACCTAGAAGATCCGACAAGACCGTGGAGGTGGATGAAAACAAGGCACTGCTAGAAAAACTGCTCCTGCAACTACACTGCTGCGTTGCTTCATTGATGCAGTCCCCATTTTGTCTAATGGTCCAGGACGCACCCGAGTTCAGCATCCCCAGTACAGACCTTGACGGATTGCTCCGGTGCTCTTGCCAGTGTTGCAGCGGGGCTGCTGCCGCAGCAACCAAGCTCGTCGGCATGTACATGACATGTACCGTACGGTGTTCAGGTACCTTCAGGGGCTGTGCCATCGAGGGCTTCGCATTACGGAGGCTGCCACATCTCTGGCAAAGACTCGAGGAGCTCAGTGCATGCCGACTCTGCAGGTTACATATTGCGTGAACTCCTGGAATTTGCCAGAGTCCCAAAAGCACAATTTTTCTCTGCAATTTCTCCTGCAGAAGGTTGGCCTTGCTTGAGGTACGGGCTCATCCCGCTCAAGCATCACGGCTTTATCCTCTTTACCAAGGCTTTGCGGAATGGGGCTATGGCGCTTGAGTCACTCTTCGTGCACGTCACGTCCATGCCATACTTGCTTTCAGAAGACAGCTGTTTCGGCTATGATCGCTTATCCATCCTTTTTGACCTGACCATTGTTGTAACAATGTTACTCGCAGGAAGCATCCTGCTCTACAGCCACAGAACTCGCATTCGTAACAGCATTACGACTATGCAGAGGCGACACGACAGGGACCTCTAGTAGCAGCAAGCTATGCACGCGGGGAGCGATGGCACATTGGCCAAGCGACTTAGTCGCACAGCCTGATTCTTGCAGTTTGGCACAGGTGAAGCACTTCAGCGGCGTGTTTCAACCTAGGCGGCACACCCCTGGAATGTCGAAGGCTTTTGCCCGGGCTTCTCGCACGAAGCCACTCCCAGAAGCTTAGTGGCAAGCGAGAAGCGCAGCCAGCAACGCCGGCAACCACGGGGTTACAGTAGTGCGGCACGTCACAACGGGCGTCTGAGTCTGTTGAACACGAGCTCTAGAGTTTTTGGGAGGTTGCAGTGCTGAGAAGGAAAGTAGGCAAGATGTCGTTTTGTGCAAAACTTTCTGGTATTCAGTATGTAGTTGGGCAGCATCAGCTTGCTCGTTGACGCTGCTACGTCCGCTTTGTGTCTGTGCTGGATGCTCTTGAGTCAGGAAGGCGACGATGCGCATGGCTTGCCGAAATGTCTCAAGTCACCTGGCAACTGTGGAATGTGATTACGCAGACTTCACATCTGAGTGTGCAGTTCGTGCTGGTGCGATTATCTAATAACAAATTATCAGCAAAATAAATGTTTAGGTGGACGCATGAACGTCCAGCTTGAAAGGACAAGAGACGTGGTCGGCTTTGGCCTTGGCGTCACCGTGGGGGCTGGAGTTTTCATGGCAACTGGGAAGGCGGCACAAGAAGCTGGACCGGCACTTCAGCTGCCAGACGATGTCACGGAATGCTGCAGAAACACATATCGTAAGTAGCGTCAGATATGCGAGGCCGTCTGAGCCGCACCGGGTGCAAGAGCGGCAGCTGGTTTTTGAGGGTGCATAGGGGTGGCGGGAAGTGTAGCCGCAAGGGGCGCCAGTACACCCGTGCATCAAAACCAATGAATCCAGAAGTTAAACGCACTTAAATCTCGATTTAACTCTGGCTTTAATTGCTTGTCTATGCCTTTGTCCAAAAACAGCTCCATCAAGAGTCTACTGTCTCGCTGCAGACCGTTAGAATCTGCTTAGAGACCCGTGCCAGTATCAGGTTTGAAGGAAAGCTTCTCTAAATAAGTAGATCGTCACAATGACCGGCGGCAGATTTGATTGATTGGTCTTAGGGATTGCAATCTCCTAACCTTCCGTGGGGATCTTCTTACAAGTACGGTGTACTGTTCTACTCAGTTACGACTAATTTACTTTCAAATTCAGGACTTGCAAAGCCAACATTCAAATCAGCATTTAATTGGGAATCTTGGGAGCCATGTCCGAACATTTCACGGGTATCTCGTAAGATTCAGGTATAGACAGAGCGCACAAACGGCACAATTAATTCATGATTCAACTGGCGATGTAGGGAATCTTTAAACATGTAATGGCGATCTCTTGATTGCTTCAGCTCGTCCAGCCTAGTCTAGTCTGCTATAGCATCGTGAAGTCTATGATGGAAGCCCAGAAAGTTGGAACATGACTGTCCTCATGCCCTCAAGTCAGAGTGTAAGGGATCCTAGCAGTCCTAGCACTAATCATCCTTAACCCATGTTCAAGCTTGCTGAGGTTCGTTGTAGCATAGTCTAGTCTAGTCCAGTCCAGTCCAGTCCAGTCTAGCCCAGTCCAGTCTGGCTTGTCTATAGTCTAGCGGCCCAGCGTCCCGTAGACACACCTGCCCACAATGCATTAGAGAAACAAGCATGCGGAACTTGCATCCCGTAGCCCACCTTAAACCGTGAACCTGAAACAATGAATGGTCTTGGGAGGCAATTACATGATGATTTAATCGTTGCCAACTCTTCGAGACAATGAGCGCCCGATTTAGTTGTATTCAAGTTTGGTCATTGATTCAGATCCACTAAACCTTGATTTTATTGTCGTCCAGGGTTTGGGTAGTGTAGGAGAAATGTTAAAATCCTGATTTAATTGTGCCGTTTAGATAGCAGGACATGCTTGAAATGGGGCGTCGTGCAACGTCCAAGAGCCAATTAAATCATAACAAATTGTCTGGGCCTATGGGGTCCGAGACGGCCCGATGCCGGGCAATCAACTCCGGAGTTATTTTCGTTTAACTCTGGGATTCACTGCCTTCCCTCGGTACATTGCAAGGCAGTGACTCTGGCGTTTCTGGTCGCGGCCGTTGGCTGCAGCTGCACAGGACCCGAGCATGTGCTGGGGCAGATGTATATGCGAGTCTCGATTTGCCAGCTTTCAACTACACATCGTCTAGGTTGAGTCGAGCCTCCTAGGCTGCTCAGGCTTGTAGCTGGAGGTTCGAGGGAGAAATATTTGATTGAAGCTCGAAGTTGTCTCAGAACAAGGAGGCCCGTCCTCGGTGCATGAGCGACCCACCGTGCACGGAGCCTGTGACGAGGCCTTTGCTATGCAGAGCTTGCGGCCCTGGCCCCTTCATCCGGGAGTTCCTACACCTTTGTCTACCACGCCGCCGGTGTCTTGGCAGCTCGAGGTTGGTGCTGAAGCGGCTCTCTGGCTTTCTGGGCTTGTGCCAACTTGTGCTCTAATTGAGGCGAACTTCCAGCCTGCCTGGTCGGACTGACGAACATTGTCAATGCAGTCTTATCCAGTGCGGCAGTGGCTCGTGGTTGGGAAGGCTACCTGCGGCTATTCCTGTTGTCAGTGGGGCTTTCTCCACCAAACTTTATGGAGGGGTATGCGTGGGGGCCTCTGCAAATATCTGTTCTAGCACCACTTCTCATCGTCTTGGTGGTGGCCATCAACCTTTGTGGCACGTTGGCCATCTCAAGCTTCAACAATGTGGTTACGTTTCTGTCTGTTTCGCTACTGATAGGCTATGTTTGCGGAGGCGCAACTCAAGTTAATCCGGACTTGTGGGCCCCATATGCTCCTAATGGCGCTGAAGGAATTGCCAAGGGTGCTGGTTCAGTCTTCTTCGCATTCATTGGGTTTGACGTGCTGGGAACTCTGGGTGCCGAGTCCGTCAATGAAAGAGTTGTGCCGTGTGGCATTGTGATAACCCTGCTGGTCACTACCTGTCTTTACTGCGGCGTCGGGGCGGTCTTCACCGGGCTTGTCGAAATCAGCGACATCGATATGACAGCCCCTTTGGCCCGTGCGGCAGAGCAGAATGGGCTTCCTTTCCTGGCGCTCATCGTTTCGATAGGAGCACTTGGCAACACCCTGACCACAGTGATCGGCTCGATTGTTGCAGTCCCCCGTTTCTGCTTATCCATGGCGCAAGACGGGCTCCTGCCAACAACTCTGGTCCGCATCAACCGCTTTGGAGCTCCGGCACGTTCTCTCATCGATACTTGGCTTGCATTAGCTCATGCTCGCACCCGACCTACCCACACTTGGTACAACAGCACCGCCATCATTCCGTGGGTGCAGGTGCTGGCGGGTCCTGCAGTGGTCATCGCTGCTCTTTTCGACTTCTCCGCCATAGCTGACGTCGTGTCTGCAGGAGCTCTTGGATCCTCGTGACCATATCAGGCAAGAGTTTCCCTGTGGTGTCTCTTGACTCGCTCATCCAAGCTTTAGTTTCGTTCTGTTCACACAGACCTCTCAGGAACCTTCGCCTTGGTCTGTGCCTCGCTGGTCCTGCTGAGATGTCCCCGCGCTTGGGACGCAGGTGCAGCTCTTCGGAGTTCATCGGAGTACCGACTTGCAAAGGTTTGGAAGACAAAGCGCTAGCCAGCAAACCCTGCAGGAGCATCGCGAAGAGAGGAGTCTGGGAACTCAGAAGAGGAAGATTGCGACGGCGGGCCTTGGAAGGTACAGCCGGCTGCACCGCGGACGGATCCTCGCCTGCATTTCTAGTTGCTTTAGATTCAGTTTTGGGTCGCGGTTTGTGTTTAGGACGTGGCGCTAAGACTCTGCCGCAACATGTCAGAGCAGCCAAGGTCGTTCTAGGCTGGCCGATTTGAGTGTTATCACGGCCATGTAGACTCAGTGTCGAACAAACACAAGAGATCAATGAAGTGCAAACAAGACTTCATTTGCAGGGGCCGGGGCGTTCATCCTTTTTCTTTGCCTCGAGTGCCAGGCATGGCAAGTTTTGTCGTGCTTACCTTCATCTTGGGCGTTCTCTTCAGAGTTCCGGTGGGAGGCCCTGTGCCTCTGCTGCAGGGGGTATTCAAGTGGCCATGGCTGACCAAAAGCTACACGGGGCTGAATCGGATCTGCGATGCCAAGGCGTGGTTGAACAACGTGCTGTTGGCCATGTGGATGCAGATCGTTTTTTCATGTGCAGCAAAGCAGTCTCCAGACTTGTCAACCACAATTCCAGGCGAGGGTGAGCATTGCAGCTTCTCCAAGGCTTTTGTTGGCTTTTGTGCCGCCATATCAGCTTGCGTGGTGGCTTTGCCCTTTCTATGTCGTGATGCCGGAGCTCATGCATCTTGCCGCCGTAAATTTTCGCCTGTATCGAATGTATTGACTTCCTGCACGCCCCAATCCTCCTCCTGAAAATCGAGCTTTCAAATTCCAGAGCAGTTTTCGTCATCTTGGGTTATGGCAGATGCCATTCTGTCAAGAAGTCTCGATTTCCATCCAATGGTCTTGAATTGTCTCGACACAAATCCCGATGCAATGCCTGATTTGAGGTCCGTGCTGAAACTACTCACCGCGCTGGGCACTTTCAGCTGCCTCTGATGCCTCTACTTCCTCTGCTCCCCGTCGAAATTTGAGCTGCTGCAAAGCATCCACTGCTAGCTTCCTGGTCTGATCTGTTAAAGCAAGGTTGGGGATGTTCATGAACGTTGCTTGGCCGCACGGGATGGAGTGTTTGCTGCCGCCAGGAGCGAGATGTCGAACCATGACACCGGCATGACTTGGCAGGTTCTGTTGGCCTCACAGATGGACTGGCTCACGTTGATCGAGGCTGCAATTGTGCAATCAATTGGGGCAGTACCTTGGATTGCGCGATGCGATGCGTGCATGGTGCTGTCTCTCTTCGCGGCTTCTGCAGTTGCAGCTTTTGCGTATCTGAACTGACTGGTGCTTTTTGGCCCGATGTGGGTTGTTCTGAGGCATTCTACTTCGGTTACTCCGCACAGCGCAGTCATCTTAACAAGCAGAGCAAGAAGGACGTGGTGCTTCGTAGCGCAATGTAGAAACTCTGGGATCTTTTCATGTGCGTTTGTGGGATGCGACTTTGGGATGCCCCTGCAGGTCTGGAAGCCCGTCTTCGATTGCACAGTTCCTCCGGAGGAGGTGAACCAGTCCTGAAGGCTAAGCAGAAGCATAGACAGACAGGGTCCTTCGGTTCCCGTTTTCAGAGCCGCTCGTGCTGAGAGCATGTTGCCCCTGTCTGAATGAATTTGAAGTGCAAGCGCTCCCAAAGCTAGATCTTGCTCTCCGGGAGAATGCATGAAGGTGTGAGGCCTATCCGTAAGGTGTGCCAGCCCGAATCGCTCTTGCCACCGGTTTCTTGTAGAAGCATCATGATTTCCAGCTCATACTCGAAGAATGCGCGCAAACCTCTCACCCACCTAAAGCGCACGCCAGGAGCACAACTTACGGAGTTCCCACTCTCCGGCTGTAATCCGAAGCCGCAACTAAAGCATCCCAAACACCTGTCAGCAATCTGTGCCGCAACACATTCTCCCAAAACAGTGCAAACTTGCCAACGGCAAGATGCCTCAGGACCGTTCTTGTAAAGTGTGAAGCGAGGCAATCACCTCATTTAGTTGCATTTCAGAGATCATGTGCGGATGATAAAAAGGCTCGTTCGTGAGCTGTTCTTTGCCTTGCCATGCACTGAGCAAAACTCTGGGCCGGGTTGCGTAATGTGATGCGCTGATGTACGCTGTGTAAACGGTAAATAACATAAGTATCATAAAATAACACTGGCAATTACCATCTCCTGTTGGTCGCGAGTTGTCGTGGTGAGTGCTGCAGAATGTCGCCGCAGGTTTTTGCATCTGCTGCTGGCAGCGACAAACTGAACCAATCAATTCTGCTTTGGCCGCCTAAAGAACTTGCGAGCAGCACTCTCAGAACCCAAACCACCTCATGCACAGTTCGTTATAGTTCTGGCAGCACCAACTTGGTGTAAGGGTGTGCCCGAAGGAAGAGCAATCAGAGCAAAGGGGCATTCTTTTCGAATCTCTGTGGCAGGGTTGCCGACTGGACTCATACCTGACTCTGGATTTCAGTTCGAGGCCGCGGGACTGTGGGATGATTCAGCGAGAAAATCTGCCACATGTCCGTAGCGCTAAAGATGTCGATCCGTCGTTCGTGCGCTAGAGCAGGTTCATGTTGGCAGACGCTCGTTGCAGGGGCATTCTCTGGGACACCTTCGACACGTATCCTGATGTGCCCGAAGGCACGTTCTTCGCCAAGACGAGCTTGCCTCAGAAGTCGTCCCGTCTCATATGCATTCAGGGACAAGAGCTCGCGCCGACGCAGTGTCTGGGTGTAGGCTCCTAAATTCTAGAGTTGTGACCCGCGGGCCTTGGAATGACTGGAGTGGAGTAACGAACTATTTCTGTGAGCGGTGTCTGTGAGTTTGGACAGGCCTGTGAGAGGAGGCTGTGAGGATCTTGTGACAAGCCTGTGAGAAACCTGTGAGAAGTCGGCGGGGTTGCAGGATCTGTGAGAAACCTGTGAGAACCTGTAAGCGGGTGGTGTTTGGGTCCGGCCGGGGGCTGCTGCCTTTTCTCACAGCTTTCTCACAGCCTTCTCACAGGTTTCTCACAGCTCCAGGCCTGGGTCCGGCAGATGGGTCGGGCTGCTGGCGATCCTCTAAACACTGCTGTGAGAAAGCTGTGAGAAACCTGTAGGTGGGTGGTGTTTGGCTCTGGCCCTCCTCTCCTCACAGCTTTCTCACAGCTTTTCTCACAGACCCTGGGGCCACCGGTTTTCATGTCTCACAGGTTTCTCACAGAACCCGCCCACGCCCACAGGTTTCTCACAGATTTCTCACAGAAATAGTTATTCGATGGTTCCCAATGATTCCACGCCATCCCCGGTCACAATTCCAGAGTCTTATGCAGTGCCTTCGATAATCAATGAAGGTATTGAGCCTCAGAGATGCTGGGTGCGACAGGAGACTCCTCAGACCCGCCATTCTCTTGAAAGCAGCTGCTGCTGTCGCTGCAGCTGTTGTTACTTGACGAAGCCTCCAATGTATCCAAGGTACAAGATCAATTTGGATCCGCTGGCTCTCAGGGAGTACTGCAAGGACTAGACTAGATTTGGCATGTGGGTAGCCCCAACGTGGCTCTTGATTGCCGCTGTGAGTGAGCACTGATACTTGAAGCTGCGTTGTTGCTTCAGAGGACACAGAGCCGTTCTCGTGGCCTCACAATGATTGCAAGAAGTGGGCCAAAGGCATGTTGCGGGCACCGCGCTTGGCGATGCCCACCAGGTGGCCCACCACCGGTGGCGATGATATGTGCATCGTTCGTGTGCAGCAAGAGATCAGCATGTTTGCTGAGTTGATGGGCATCAAAGAGGATCCAGATGTGGATGGCCAGGGACCAAGTTGTGGGCAAATGTTGCACTGCGTGTTGAAGCAACACTTTGTTAGGTGCCATCGACAAGCTCACGAGGCCGAGACTAGCCGACTTGTGGGGGATCGCAGTTGCCATTCTCATCGTATGTTTTGTCACTGCGAGCCACAGTAACTTTCAGCAGTGAATGCGATCTCAAGAATGGGCGGAGTTAACCTTGCGCAGTAAGCGCCCAGGGCCATGACTGCTCTCATTCTTTGCCTCTCCCGCTGGAGCGCAGGGGAAACGTTCGGCTGAGAGACATCATCACATGCGGTGGCAGCACTGCGCCGAGCGCAACGCGTTGGGAGCTCAGCCGAAAGGCTGCGCGTGGACGATGAAGGGCAGCGAAGCAGAAGTGTCTTTACATGGTCTACAGCCATGCAGTAGCTCTTTTGGCCCTTGAGGTCTCATCGGCTGCATGCAGTAGCAGGTGGTGTGCACAGGACGCTTTGAAAGCGATTTTCTGACATGGCAAGTTGGATTGGTTGACTAGTCACATGTTGTGCTGCCGCCGTTTGCGACATATCAAGCACGATGACGCGGGGCATCTTCGCGTCACGGCCCACCCTCTTAGCAGGTGGGTGCAGCTGCAAAGTGCACCAACGGAACCGAGAGCGGTTGAATGTAAATGGCGACGGCTCAGCTCAAGTCGAAGTGCCGTGTCTTCAGGCCATTCCCGCACAGAGCGGTTTTGACGTGTGCGAAAAAGCCGGGCTACGTCTGGAGCGAGGTTCTCGGATTCTCCGCTCTCGGATCTCATGTTGTACGTTGAAGCATATGAACACGTTCGGAGGTGATATGCTGAGCATCAACTATGTGCGGGCGGTGCCAGGGCTGCTGCAGTGTGCTCAGATGCTGCTGCTGCTGCTGCTGCTGCTGCATCCGCCACGTTCATATTGCCACACTCCGAGCTATGTGGATCTCATGTAAAGTCGGTGAAGGCTCATCGCTTGCAGCATCCACCTCGCTGCATCCAGCCGCGGGGAGGTTGGGTCATGACCGGTTGAAGAGGTTATCTTTGCTTTTGTTTTTGTTTTTGGGATGGCCGCAATTGAGGTGGTGGTGGTCTTGGCATTGCTCTAGGGGTCGTAGTGTGAGCCGTCGTCTTCGTTGTCGTGGTAACTCTGGTTGGCTTAACCAGAAACTGTCCACTCAGGCAAAATTGGTTGCCACCCTCTCCAACAAAACTGCCTCGAAGCCCGCCTGCGCCCCCAAAGCGATCGCTTGGAGACAATAAGCCAACAATCGGTGGCGCAGAAGGTCTACAAATTTACTGCTCTAGTTGGGCAACCAATGATGGCAGGAGTATCCAGTGTAAGGTTCAACCAGGAGGGGCAACCCATGAGTGCACGGTAGTCTTTTGCAAGACCTGTTGAAACATGTACTTGTACGTGTTCTCGTTCTTGTTGTTGTTGCTGCTGTGTACGCCACTCGCCGCCCAGAAAGGTATGCACAATTCGGGCCGGCGAGTGGGGTACATGGGGTCCTTCAGGTTTGGCGTGATGACGATGCTGCTTGATGCCCATGCTGGTATGATGTGATGCTACTGGGTGGGGCTGGGGAGTAGGGCATGAGACCGTGCCGTTGACTTCTGCCCAGTGCGCTGTTTCCGCATGTCATGACGCACATGAAGCCCCTCTGCGCAGTGACACTTCTGCCCAGAGCTTCCGTCTGTCCTAAACATTGTTCGATCCACACGGATCCATGGGTTAACAACATTCCCACTGCCTCTAGCATGACCTCAGCAGAGATGGTGCCTGCGTATATCCAGCTTTGGTCAAGAAGGTTTCCGCGGCATCAAGCTGCATCAGGCCAACCACCAGGCCGCACAAGGCCACAGGACCCAGATCGAACAATATCAAGTTGGCCGGAACTCAGGCTCTCGATGGTACTTGGGCACATTCAAACGGGTGGTCCCTTTCTTTGCTATCAAGGGCCAAAGCACCAAGACCTGTCATCCGGATATCTTGAACAATGCTTTCAGTTATGTCTTGGAGGCACAAAGTCCCCATGCCTGAACAGGCCCTTAGAGTCTTAGAGACAGCCTTGGTGAAGGCTCTCCACACGCAGTGAAAAAAACTCGCGTTGCATTGCTGCTGGGATTGAGAGATGAACATGTCAATGTATGTATGTATGCATGATTATGCGTGCATGTATGTATGTGTGAATATGTAAGATGTGTATGTACAACTCTGATACATACATATGTGCATACATATATGCTACATGTGCATACAAACACATTCACATGCAAACACATATATGATGTTTTAAAAGTCTCAAAACTTGCTGTCAGGTGTAGGCATGCTACAGTTCGAGGCTTTCCATGGCATCTAGAGGCATTTAAAATTTGATTGAGGCTTCTGGTACTTTGCATTTGAGGTTGGGCTGTTTAGGACTGCGGGCTGCATGTGGGCTGTCTGACGAAGATCCTGCTGATCTGTTGAGACCATTTCAGACCCACGCCTTCGTGGTCCGGGATGAGTGTCACAGATTCGGGCTTTAGGATTTGGTGCGCATCACGGAGCCAGAAACACTTGTAGCTGGTGCATGCCTGAATTAAACCATACCACTCGAATCTTGAAACCATATCCAAACCCTAAGCCCTAAGACTTAAACCCCACTTGGTCGTAGATGTCACCAAAAGAAGCCGTTCTTTTTCAAGCTTCCTAACGCCACCCAAAAAATATTCCAAAAGTGAGGTTGCGCCAACCACAATGTCACCAGACAAGTTGTGGCTTGAATGTTGTATTGTGGTGGTGCCGCAAAATGTGGTAGCAGCCCAATGTGGTAGCAGCACGTGTTGCAGTACTCCTCTTGTGCTGCTAGTAGCAGGCCGCTCTCAGTGAATCGGACACCGTGAGGGGCGTGCGGCCCAGAGCGTGATCTTCTCGCTGAACATCTCCGCAAGGTTTTTTTGGCTTCACTGCTGCTACTGTATTTTACAGATGCAGGTCTTGAGGTGGATGTGCCAAAGCATTGCGAAGAGGCCGGCCGCCGAAACTAAAGCACATTGCTTCATTGTGGGGAGGCAGGTATAGGCTGACGATCTGAACAGGCTGTTCAGCATAGCCACTCCGCGAGTGAAACGATCAAGGCGCATCCGCAGCTGGTTACCGCGGCTTGCGATCGTGTCGTGTAATTTGTACATGTTGTACTGGTACATTGGCCATACCGGCTCCAAGTTTGATGGGCGTTCGTGGGCTCAAGATGAAGTTTGTTTGCCCATGGCACAGACATGGTGTAAGGTATCGTGAATACTACGAGGCCACAGAATGCCATAGATACAGACAGACCTTCTTTCTCACCCGCACGCGAGAGTGAGCGACATGCCAGCACGATCCGGCATGCCTCGCGACGCACAGACAGGACAGACAGAAAGACACAGACAGACACAGAGAGACACACACACACACACAGACACAGACAAGGCTTCATGCTCCGCTGTCGTTCTGCCGGAAGTGCCCCAATGTCAGCCCATGGCAGCACTGGTTGCGAGGCACCCTTGTCAAGAGATCTGCTATACCTAGTGCCGTTTGAAGAGTCTCAGCACAGGCAGGCGATGCATTTACAAAGCTGGCCGGCGGCGCAGCTACAGGACCTTTGCATCCAGTTTCCACCAGAGGCAGCAGATAACTCCTTCGCTGGCCGGTGAGGACTCTCTGCGATGCTGCTTGCGCTAAGAGGGACGCAGCGAGGCCCCGGACAATCTGCACCTTGGCTAAACCCAGCTGAGAGTCATCATTCAAGATGACGAACAGATGCGCGATCATGCTAGCTTTCCGTTTTTCTGCAGAATACTGGTTGGTGCACCCAGGCCCGTACGGAAATGCGACGTGAGGCCCAGTGACACAACAAGAAGTTGGAATTCAATGTGTCGGAACGACTTGTCAGGTCGCCTCGTCAGACGAGAGATGCGAGAGCGACGAGAGCGAGGATGAAGCGGACGCAGACTACGTAGCGGCCGAAGCGATCGGCGTGTCTGAGGCTGTCATTATGAGAGACAGCCGGGCTTTCTCTCAGTGGAGCCTGCGACCAAAGGAGGAAACGTATCTGGAAGACTCGGAGGCGGGAGTGGCTGCAACATTTGCCGTCAAGGTGTCGTTACACGACGTGTGGTACGACGAGTCGGCTTCGCAACGGTTGATGCAGGAGTCTTCTTTCGACGAGGATACGGAGGTCGAGTGGCTTGGGCCCATGTTTTTCTGCTCCTCACTTCCGGGTCTGATGGGCCCAACCCCCCCAGGCACGACGAACATGTCAAGTCATCGAAGGTCCGAATCCTCGACGCGAAGGTCAGCACGCGAAGGAGGCACGATGCGCCACTGTCATTCAGCACCAGAGCTTTCGAATGCAATGCTACAGGTTTGCAGTCGAGATCGACGGGACCAATGCCATCCAGGCCCGGCCCAAGCGCAGAGACGAAGATTTCCCTTGGCATGGCGCCTTCCTTAGGCGACGCTCCGCTACTCGGGGCCAAACCGAGGCCAGGCCTCGGCCTCGGTTCTCAGCACTCGGGCTGATCCCAGAGCCCCTGGCCAGGACACATTGGATCCGGAGGAGGAGCGCAAGAAGCTATAGCCACACTACACCACTCGCGGTGTCCTGCTGTGACGCGATTCAGGAATTGGACAAGGATGCATTCCAGAGCTTCATGCCCTTGGATCTACGTTTTGATGGCGAAGAGGCCTTCCGCACGTCGAGCCATATCAGAGCAACTCCCTCCTGGATTTGCTTGGAGGCGCTGCGGCTGGCGGAATCGGAGTGCGCTGAGAAGGAGAAACCTGCACCACCACCCGAGGCACGAGCCGTGAGCCACATGTGGCAAGCTGGAAGTGTACATGCCTTTGTCGACTCGGTAGGATGACAGCTGGCGAGATTGGGGAAACCTCGCCAGCGCGCCAAGGCACTTTCCGTCAGCAGCGGTTGTCCCATTAGTGCTGTGCGGCGGGCGGCCGGCCGAAGAGAAAGCGTCGTCGTACTTGCCAGGCCTGGCGACGAAGGCTTCAATAGCTTCGCAGCAGCACGTCTGCAGACACATCAAGCACGGGTGCTTCAAGCAGGACGCCAAGCCAAGACGAAGGGCTTAAGCGGGAATTTTGCTGCTTTTCGGAAGGTAGTCTAAGAATCAGGGACTCCAGCTTTGTAGAAAGGAGCTGGACGTTGAGAACACAGCGCTGTTGGCCGATGGGGTTCACTGTTAGGAGGGTTTGTTCTGTGCGTCAAGGACCGCAATCCTGCCCGCTGCAACCTCACCAGGCCGAAGGGTCGGGCTGCCTTTGCTCAAGCAACCAGGCGAAAGGGAACTCGAAAGAGTGCGGCAGCTGCGACATGTGAAGAACGACTGTTCCGACACAACTACGCAAACGAGCAGCAGTAGGCGCGGGTACGACGGAATGCCTGCCCAGCCATGCTCTGAAAGAGCACGGCAAGGTGGCCAGCTTGTCAGATGAAACTGACCTGTGTCATCTGGCCCTGCCAGGCTGCTGTGGCGTTTTTTTTGTCACCAAGTTCTCCCATCCAGAGGTGCAGCGTGACCAGCTCTTGAGTATTTCAGGGTTCGTTAGCCTGTCTGTGCCGAGGCTTCTGGTTGATCACCCGACAGGCGCTGGGAAGACTCGAGAAATGATTTGCGCTGCATGTCTGAATGGTTCAGTAGCTTCATGCCTTGTTCAAATCCAGTCAACCAATCCCATATTTAGCACCCCTAGGCCATAAACCTCCCTACGTATTGCTTCGTTTACCCATCGCCGCACTCCTGTTCTATAGCTTACGTGAGACACCCCTTTCTCTAATCTAAAGAAAGTCCATCGCAGAATCAGACACTGGGCCTTGAATCAGAGACTAGAAACTGCGCATCAGAAGCCAGCCGCGCATCAGAAACCGGCGCATCGGAAAGCTGGACTATGCTCTGGGGACACCGTCTGCCGGGCAGCGATATGCTTTCCCTCTCAATTAGTTTTGCTGCCCGTGGGTGTGTCCGTGCTTGGAACGACTACCCCACCGCCAGCCCTGTCAGCGAGCTAGCTGTTGTGTCAGAAAATTAGCACCTTGGTGAGACAAATCATGGCATAATCATGGGGATTGAAGAGCTTCTGATCCCGAAATGGGCCATCTTGCCCAATGGCGCTTTTGAATCTGAGAGCATTGAACTCTTGCCAGATTTCCCCGATGATGCAAGTGGAGGGGGGAAGAGATGCGTTTCTGTTGGCTCCAGTGCACTGCAGGTCGTCCACTCACTCGCTCGCCCATTGGCTTTACGTCGTTTCTTTAAAGAATCAGTACATGTGACTGTATTTACAGAATAGGAGCTATACAGATCTCCCATTCTTCGTGTTGGGGAAAAACGTGAAGCACCCACGCAGACCAACGGGACGGGACCAGAAATGGCTGGGTCCTCGGGAGCCACCGGTCGCAACACACGAAACAGTTCACTGAGTCGACCTGTAATCCTCGACCCCATGACTAATTGAAAGATAGCTTTATGGGTATTGGGCTTATGAATACCAGGATACCAAACATATATGGGTTGGGATTTTGGGCAGGACGTGGTTAGCCTACACGTGAGCACAGGGCTTAACACGGGGATATGGGTTCTAGATAGTGAGACTTTATGGTTCAATTTTGGGTGCAGGCCTGCCCTCATCGGATGTCTTGTGAGTCGCCCTGCACATCCGAGGTCTTGAATGGCTTTTTCAGCGACAGCCGGCCAAAGGTTCTGATCTTTCCGACGCAGGCGGTCTGCAGGCACATGCTCAGAACATCGTGGTATGATGTGCAGATCCAGGCTTTTGTTAACGGCACTTGGTTGAGGTTGGGCGAGTTCGAACCGCATCACTTGTCAGGAACTTCTATGCTGAGCTGCTTGCTTGGCCATCCCGGTACCGCGACTACTATTGCAACATTTGTCCAGGCATGCCCTATTTACGAACAATTGCGGTGGTTTGCACCGCAGCGCAGCGTGGCAACAATGGATTGCCGCACAGGTGGAGCCATGCTGGCGTGTGGGACGGCAATTTGGCAGAGCAGACGACTCCAGCACTGGAATCTGGCCCAGCTGGCTCGGGTTTGACCAAGCCGTATTCGCAAAAGAAACTGGGGCAGCCTCTCTCTCTCTTTCTCTCCGCCAGGGCCGGCTTCCAGAAGCGCGGCTCCGGGAACTCGCGCGCTCCTGCCGGGAGGTCCTCGAAATGAGGCCCTGAAACACAGCCACAGCCACTTCTGCGGAAATGGTTGCTCTTGCTCTGTTCTGCAGGGGAGCATGCTTTGATGGACGCTTGTGCCCAGGACGCAATAGTGGCAAGAGAGACATCCTAGTTCAACCCTAGCTCAGGTTGTAGACCTTGCAGGCTTTTGCATCAGCATGTTCGTTCAGCAAGCCCAGTCGCGTGCATGGAGGCGCCCGGGCATCGAAGAGGCTTTCCTTGCGCAGCACCCTGGAGAGCACTTCCCAGGACGGCCTTCCCACTCTGCTTCTGCGGGCTTAATCGCGTCACCAATGACATGAGATAGTTTGTTGGGTTTAGCTGTTTAGGACGGCATGGTAGAATCACGGACAGTATAGCCGCTTGGTCGACGGTGAGCTGGATCTCAGGAGCACCTTTGAGGGCTTTGAGCTTTGCAAGCGCAGGCGGAGGCCATGCCAGGCCAGCGCTGCGGAAGAAATCACACCGGCTGAAGCATGCAAGTTGTTTGATTCGAATACTGTGTTGTGCAGTATTCGATCTCAGACAGATGGCGCACAAAAGCTGATTTGCGAAAGCTGATTGCCCGCAGCATAAGGGATCATATGACTTTCCAGCCATGCGGGCTGCGAGGATGTCCTTCAAATCCGGGATGTTGACGTGGTTGGCAGCTCTGTGCCTTGCGACAGCAGAGCCCGTGACTCCACAGAGCTTCACGGTGTATTCGGAGCCAATCAAGTTGCGGTATGGTGAAGTATACAACAAGAAACAGGGCCCGATGGTTCTGCCGCAAAATATCGTGGAGCGATATTTCGACCAGGGAAAGACAATGGCAATTACCGGTTTCGATGTCGACATGGTCCGAAAGGATGCAGACGGTACGGAGTCAAAAGTCAAGCTGAGTGACCACTATTTGCATCATTACATCCTGGCGATGGGCGATAACAGCACGATGAACAAGATTGAGGAGCAGGCTGCCAAAGACAAGATGTTTGCCCGGATGCTACATGGCTGCCATGGCATGACAGGCTCGCATGTGCATTCTTTCCTGACGGGCTTGTCAGATTCCCCCGATCTGGTCTACTTCGGCAGTGCAGCTGGCGCTGAGTATCGACACAACCCGCAAAGATATCAAGCACCCTTCCGCAGATTGATCCGAAAGCCCCACGTTTGGGCACCAACCTTCCATGTGATCAATACTAACAGGCCTTTGCGAAACACATCTATGCCGTACTCGCCGCTGCTAGAATGTCCGTGCACTCCGCAGCGGAAGATTGATGTGAAGCAAGGGAAGATTGACGGCAAAGATCCTCAACCTCCTATCAAGTGTTTCAGCAGCAGTTGTTGTCTAGGCTTCTGGATTGTTGTGTCCCTGTAAGTCTTCATGGTGTGGCACATTGTTCGTTTTTTCCGATAGCAATGGCAATGATCTTCCTGCAGTCCAAGGTGCAGCCCGGAGTTTGAAAAGACCGGAAATCCTTCTTGCCACCTGGCCACCTATGCTGGCGGATGGCGCTGCTGCGAGCACGGTGTGTTTCTAATCGACACAGACAAAGAGTGCACTGATCCGCAGTGTTCGGAGGAACAACAGGATGAGATCTTCATGAAGTACTTGAAGCATTTAATTTGGCAAGCCCTGTTTTCTGGTTTTGACTGCTGCTACTGGCATTTTTTGTACGCTTACTGTGTGAGTCAGAGGTACACCTTCTACTACGAGGATGCCAACCCAGAGACGCGTAAGATGGAGATGGCTGCCTGCTGCGATGTCACCAGCGATCAGCAGGGTTTTGAAAATATAGAGTACGACGTTCCCGCTTGTGTGCCGGGTACCCCTCCGGAGAAATGCTTGCACGTAGTTGAATCAGTGCAGCCTGTGGCCTATTTCCACCGACATCCGAAGTCTCCCAACGACCGGCACAGAGCAGACGAATTAGTGGACCTCGTCTTTGCAGCACCCCATCTTCATGTTGCCGGCTTGTCCATCGAACTCATCGACGACATTACGAACAAAACCCTTTGCTCCGTTATCGCCAGCGTGGACAACCAAGGTGGAGTAATGTATGGGAACGGAACTGAAGCTGGAAACGAAGACGGATACTTAGTTGGACTCCGTCCCTGTACTTGGGGCAGTGATGCTCCTCGCTTCCAGAGAAATCATCCCCTGAGGGCGCGGGCGACCTACAATGCATCCCGTGTTCATACCGGTGTCATGTCACTTTGGTTGATGGATGTTTCAGCCGCCCCAGATGGTGACTTTGTAGTGTGACCGCGAACGTCGATCGTTTCCTCGCGTCTGTGTGATTGGCACAGACCGAAGTCCACAAGACTCTGTGAACCTCCGGAGTGCAGCTAGGCGTCCATGGGGGCACAGATCGCGGAAAAATGCGTTGAAAGCAGCAGAAGACCGTTCAACGGGTCATGCCATGCAGCAGCCCTTGTGCACACCAATCCATCATCCTTGTGACTGCAGGTTGGACGACCGCGGGTGGCCCCTGTCTGCTTTTTTGAAGGCAGAGCGCACTTGTCGGCCCTGTGTCTGGTTGGGTAGTTTTCGCACAGGGTGCACTTCAATGTCGTTTAGAAGATTCGGCGAGGTCGGGCATCCGCATCCATCCAGAAACGTCTACGACCGGAAAGTGATACTCATGGATGAGTCCTTCGGCACCAGCAATGGGACCCAACAGCATGTTGTTTTTGTCCCGGCAGTAACGCTTAGACTTTTAATGTATGATTCCCAAATCACGGCGTTTTCGGACTGTGCTTCCCGTTGTGTTTGGAAGGTGGTAGGCCATGCTGGAGATGGGTGTCCAAGCTCTGAGAATCAAGCTCCAAGCTTAACTCTGGTGACTGCATCGTTGTGGGTCAACACTGCAGTTGCATTGTAGCGCATTCAGATCTGGAGCTTTCCGGTGCCCCCGCGATAAGTCGAATTCCGGTCTAGGCGCATCCAAAAAGGTCCAGCACCGTCCAAAGACCTTCCATGCTTTTATAATGCTGCAACAAGCATTGACTTGCAAGCATAATTACCCCACAGAACGGCACTGAACGGCACCCAGACACGTGCTTGAAGAGCATGCAGGGCCGCCTTGCATACCCTCCGTCCCCGCCAAGGGTTCATCACCTGGTTCGCACCGACTCGCAGTACTCGGAGCAGCTTGCAATCCTTCGCGATCGGTTATCTGCTGCCGACGGATCTGTTTTGGTCGGGTTTACCGGCACTCCCCTTCTCATTGGTGCAGCTGACGGCCGAAGGCTCCTAGATATTATCAAAGGTCGGCCCGCCCCGCACGCCTCTGACGAAGGATTCCTGAGCTCCTTGAGCTGCAAGCCGACATCGCTCTTTCCGCTCTGTGTACCCGCAGGTGTTGACAGGGCCGACTTGGTAAGTGCAAAGAAGCTTTGCTGCAGGGTTATCCTTCGAGGTGAGGCATTGCAATCTTACGTTTTGCGCAGCAACATGGAGCTCAGCCGACGCAGACTGCAAGCATATTGCAACTTACACGTCTTCTCCGGATCTTATCACAGCGGACGGCACGGGTGCCAGGAGTTTGTCCTGAAGCATCCGCAACATTGTGCCCCCAAATTCTGGAAAATTGCGCAAAGTATTGGCAACACACGACAGAAGACGCTCGTCTTGATCTCCAGAGGCACGGGCTATCGAGCAGCTGTCGACATATTGCGCCAAGAAGCCTCTCGTGCAGAACCACCGTTCCAGGTGGCCTGCATTGATAACTTGGCAGAGTTCAACTCTCCAGAAAACCTCAGAGGCGAGCTGTTCCTTTGTATGGTTGCAGATTCCAACCAATGCGGCGAAGGCGTCTCGTTTCGCACAGTCCGACAGCTGTTTTTGCTGGACGTGCCCTCGACACCAACCACCCTTGTCCAGATTTGTGGGCGCGCCAGTCGAATGTTGGGACACCAAGCACTGCCCGAGCAAGATCGGGTTGTGAGAGTGCAGATCTTCATCGCGACGCCGCCAGACTGGGCAAGGCAGCCCCTGGGACGGTGGTGTTTGATCGCTGCGGCTCGAAAGGGCCAGTCGGGGCGCAAATTTGAAAAGCGGGCCCAAGGGTTGTTCGCACAACTCCTGGACAAGGTCGAGGACCTGAGAAGGCTCAAAGGGAAGTTGATGGGTATCTGCAAGAAGAAGGCTTCCATGCTGCAGAACTCTTCCAACAACCTCGAGGAGCACGTCCAGGGCAGCGCAGACTAATCACAGATTGATCCGGATTTGAAAGAGCTCTCAGGCTCTTGCGCTGAAAGGCTGCAGAGCAAGAGAGCAGGTAGGAAGCACTAGGCAAACTCCAATGCAATCTTAGCGGAGGAGCCACATCCACGGGTGCTTATCCACGAGGGCCACTTGGCTTGATGGTGGCATCGCACACCCAGGAGTCTCAGAGCACCGCCCAGGCTTGCCACGGCTCCGGCAGGTTGAGAAGGAAGACGTGGGAGACATCATGCGGAAGATTGGGTGCTCTAAGGACGCACTGCCTTTGACCAGGGATGCCGGTGCCTTTCCATTCACAGTGGAGCGTGAGAGTGGTGGCTGTCAGCTGCGGAGCAGTAGAGTGCTTGCTATCAGCAGTGGAGCAGTGGAACAATCTGTAGCCAGGAACATCACCTCGGCTCAGGAAGCGAGCTGTGTAAGGCGCCAGCTGCTTTGATTTCATCATGCTCCCAGCGTCCGAGAGCGCAGCTGGCAGGCATTGAACTGGCTGTACCAGTCAGAGACACTCGTGCATGATGAGTTCCGCACAGCTGATGAGCTGGCTATGGAAGAGCTGCAAGAGAAGCCTGGCCGAAAACGGAGAGAATGTCTAGCTTGGTGAATTGCTGTTTGCGCCTGTGCCAAGGGCATCAACTTCGTATGCAGGCAAGGGAATCAAGCGTGTGGAAATTCAGAATGGCTTGTCACGCACGCAGGTGCTCTGACAGAGTTCCGTGGGAAGGCGATGGATCGCGAGGCCGTTGACACAATAATGAAGACCGCGACGGATCTCTTGCTATCTCTTGTCCTTTCGGTGAAGTTGTCCATGCTCCGGTTAGCCTTTGGCCGGAACTCTGTGTGTCTGTGTGTGCGTGTGTACAGGTCTTGGCTGACCACTTCAACGGGCAACAGGCTTCATTGATGCATTGCAACGGACATGCCGAGCAGTGCCGGCAGGGGTCCTGGAAGACTCTTGCTTTGTGCGTCCCAGTCTGAGGCCGCCAAGCGACGAGGTTCTTTTGTGTCGAAGGTCGGAGCCGCTCTGCTGAAATACTACCACCCGCCTGAAGATTTGCCAATCCACGTCCGCATAAGCCTTTGCATACCGCGCGAAGGATGCCGGCGACCTCACAGGCACCTCTCCGAAGCGCTTCCGCCTGACATTCAAGCAGCCAGGACCCGGGAATGCATGGCATGGAGCCTTCGAAGGACTCGAGAGAGCTTGATTGGGCCAGGAGGGGCCACAGCAGTGAGTCTCAGGCCTCTGTCTGCTGCTGCGGCTGCTTGAGTTTGTGGTGCCGGACCTAGACTTCCCAAGCTGCGTGCGGGCTTGGCATGGCTTACCGGAAGCCGGCCGATCATAGCTTCGCGGACATTGACTCTTCGGTGGACAGACGACGGATGCGATCTGGAACCGCTGCCCACCTGAATGCCCTGGGCTGACGGCCATCGTTGGAGAGTTCCCGGCCTCCGGTCGAAGACCCAAACCTGGCTGTGAAAGAATTGAAAGTGAGAGGCATATGTAGCAGAACTACGCCGTGCCAGAGGGCACTGTACCAGTAAGTGACGCATCTAGCGCATCCCAATGTGATGCCAGACCGCACCAGTCGCAGAGGGCATAGAGTCAAAAGCAACGCACGGCATGAGTAGGGGCACGTGGCAGATCGTGCTCGAGATGTGAAACTTTCAGGCACTCCAGGCCTGCATCGAGGACCTGGAGAGGCACAGCTTGGAACGAATTCGTTGAGTGTGTCTGCGCGTGTGTGTGTGTGTGTGTGTGGACGATGCTGCGAGGCACTCAAGCCAAAGCAAGGCAGCGCATTCGCAAGCGAAGCAGACGAGCCAAACGTGCCCTGCGCTTTCTGGTTGGTTAGGGCCACCTTGAAGCATGAGTCTGCTATGATGCGGCTCTGCTCTGGCCCGCGATGTGATTCTTTTTAAACCTCTTTGAAAGTGGCGAGGTGTGCACGTATCTCGTTCGATCTGATTGTTTTGCCTTCGCGTCGTGCTTTCCTAGCCCGCTGCTATCCGCTGCTGCTGCGTAGTATTCTCTAGCTAGCCGCCCGCACCTTCTCATTGCCGTAGTTCACGAGGTATGCCAACGACGTCAACATGTTGGGCTCCTTCCTGCAGTGCGCTTCCTAAAGCTGCGCGAAAAAGTGCCATAAACTCCAGTTGAAGAACAGCTCGGTGTCGGTAGTCTGGGACAAGAACCTACCTTTCGGCATGCGTGGCCTGCAGCTCCCAAGTTGTCATTAGGTGTGTTCTTGCAAGAGCCCAGCAGCTGCATCTTTGCAGTCTGAGAACCTTGCAAAGACCCATGTCACTGCATATGCGAATTCGCCACGTGATCCGCCATACGGTGCACTGCAACACCTAATCAGGTCCTTGAAAGCCACGCTCAATAAGACCTACGAGTGATCTGGCCGCAGTTAATGGTTTTTACAGCAGGAGAGCAGCTTCGGAGTGGAGATTAGAGCCGCGGGAGGTTGGGAAGGAGAGCAAATTGCGCCAAACTTGTGGCTAGAAAAAAGTTTCGTGACGCCCGTTTTTCCGATGTGTCCTGAACATCTTCGCATGGAGTATCCTAGGTTCCTAGACGGAGGACAGGCTACATTCATGGGCCTTCTTTGTATGAAGTAGAAATTGCTGTAGGCAGCGTCCGTTTCCTGAGCTTCCTGGGCCTTGGTTCTGGTAGTACTCGTACGCGGAACGGCCGAGATTTCTGTGTTTTGCATTGAGCTGAACACATCCTCCCATCGCCTACGAGAGCTCGTCGGAAGATCATGCTGCTTGAGAGAGAGACTGCGACTGCATGAATAGCCCGGCATCAGGAAGCACAAGCTGCAATACACCAGTCTTCGTGAAGATCATCAGCAGGCTTGTGCCGTGGGCAGGAAGCTAGGAAGCATGTGTGGAGAGGCAGGTGTCGTGCTTTTGCCTACATCCATGGTCTTGCTGGATTCCAGCACTAAACTGCCCAGGGCATGCTCTCGGTGTGCAGGTTGTTTCTGGATTGATCCAGAAGCTGGCCACTTTGGAGGCACCCGGGCACCCGGCCTTCAAGTTGAAACGAGTCACCAATGCAAGAATGGCCAGGCTTTGGAAGGCAAGGAGCGAGCCCATCAGCATGCCAGCGTCCGAGCAGCTCAAGCACGCATCGGAGCAAAGTGCTGCACTTGCACCAGGTCTCATCGACTTCGCATGGCAACAGCAACCGGAAACTGCGCAGGACAGGGTTGCGGAAACGTGCTGCAGCATTCGGGCCAAGAGCTTTGATGAGAGAGGATGCCCCAGACGAAGAGTTCGCTCCACCAGGCCTCTACCCGAAGCGCTGTCTCAAAGATCTCCCACAGCCTCACGTCCCAGGCGAGGCAGACGTCTGTGAAGAAGTCCAAGAAGCTTGAAGAGGCTCTGCGCAAGGCAGGCTGCTTATCTCCACGCTTCTCGCCGTGTTCGTTACACTACATAAAGAATATAAAGATGAGAAACGAGAGGTGGCTCAGCGCAAACAGCGTGACTTGGCAGCACAGCACGGGGAGCATGGGGAGCGAACAAAGAAGGGAATTTGCTCAGATTTTTCGCAGAATTTGCCCAGGTCGGCCCCGGCCCCGCAGAGAGGTGCCCGGCCCGTGCTTGCTCGAGCGTCCGCAGAGTGGGCCTTTTTACGCCTTGCGAACTTCTGCAGGGCTCATGGTCTTAGCAGTTTAGCCCTGCATGCTTCAGGGCACGGGGCACAGGGAGCCTGAGGGGCAGAAACCGCTCACATCCATTCACTGCATGCTCATTGGATCCAAAATTTGGCACCTGCAAATCTCCATGCCCGCCCCATCGATTCTGCCGATGTCGCAGATGTTGCTGTGGATCAACAAGAGAGGCGGCTCCGTGTCAGGTGCCGAGCCTGCTGCAGCTGTCCGCCCAGAACGGCGAGGCCTGGACAGTAAAACGGCTTCTGTTCTTATGACTCCGACTCTGAAATCGTAGACCTCTCCGGCCCCGAAGTGGCAGGACCCGCCGAGGAATGAGGGCGACTGGAGCCAGGATCAGGTGCTCCTGCTGTTCCGTCAGTCTGGTGAGATTCTCCCTCGCCGGCCCGGCCATTCCTTGAGCTCATATCGGGTAGGGCATGGGGTGAAAACAGATGCCCGCAAAACAGGGCCATTTCATTCCAATGCAAGAAGCACTTCAACATGGCATTCCGACGTAACGCTGGAAGCCATTTTGTACGTATTTGTAGTTGTTGGATAACTTTACACGAATTGGTACAGTGAGTCTACGGGCAAGTTGTATTGGTACGTTCGTCTCTACATCAGGCTCGGCATTGTCGGTATTGGTGTTGCGGTAGTCTTGGTTCACGTTTCGTTCTTGTATGGAACCTTTTGCTCACCGGTGCTGATGGCCAAGCGTAGCGTTGTATCTAAGATCAGAGGACCATCGATGTATATTGATGTGGTGTTCGTGTGATGGGCAAGCTGGGCATGTGTAATGTTTGATGGGATGTCATCGATGGTGGGATGCCGGCGGTGAGTTGCAGTACGAGTCAGTCGCCATAAATCACCTACAAACCAGCGCTATTCTGCTGCTTTTCGACGTATTTCGAAATGTGCCGCCAGGGTAAACTTAGCAGACGAGCCATTCAACAGCCATGTCGTTTAGAGAAGGGTTTTCAGTGTTTCTATGGAGCATTTTGGGGTCCATGTCATGACGTCGTGTCTGTGAGGAGCTCATTACACGCAACGACTCAGATCATGTACCTGTGCAGGAGATCGAGCTGAACGCCAGATCTGGTCAAAACCCTACCAGCCTGATGCAACTTGCAGCCGCAAGCTCAAGATGCGTGCAATCCGAATGCTCTGTATCTCCATGCCATCGCATTCGAAGGCAACGGCCGCGGCAGAATCTCTAGTCGATGCCGTTGAGGCGGCCGCGCGAGAGAGCCAAGACTGGAACAGGTTGAGTTTTGAGCAGACCGACCATCTAATCAACCGCGTGCGCACACGGGGAATGTGTATGTGGCTAATCAGCGTAAGTTGGCACACGTATCGTCCATCTTGCGCTGCACCACTACACACTGCATCCGAGCCTCAACAGCCTTAGTGAGGATGCACGCGTGACAGGTAGATAGCTGCCAGATGCTGCCAGTCTACGCATGGTGCAGCTATTGCAAGTAAACCACCGACGGCAGGCGTTGATGCGCTATATGTGGAGTCTGACGACACTTCATCTAATGTATCTAATCCTTCTTCGAAGCGGGGTTTATCGCGGACCACAATAGCGCACGTTCTACTGCACTCTACGCCATCGGTAGAGTGTATAGCCGGGCGCTGGGAGGTTATTGAAATTGGAAATGGTCTGGCCGTCAAACAATTGGGCCCACACACGCCTCTGGCGTCATGTCGTCCGGCTCTAGCAGCATTTGACATCTTCGTGGCAGTAGGCACAAGCTCCTGCGCATTCACCGGCAAGCCTGCTGGAGCAGGAGTTGCTCGCACGTGGCATTGTGACGGTATCTACGTCTGATTTTGATTGACAACTGTGGCTATGCTTGAGCTTGCTTGTAGGAGATGTCCAGTTTGGCCAATCTCTTCTGGAAGCCGCTGACAGGAGACGGTAGGGTCCATGTGTCACATCATATTTCACATGTGTCCTACTCCGAAAGCCATGCAGCAGAGTTTACCTCCTCTTGACAGACCTTTGACAGGGGGCAAGCCTACCTTGCAAACCATCGTGACCTGGCAATAAGGGCATTCGCAACAGATTTTGCACTCTAGTCTAGGCTCTGTCCAAGGTTGGAGTTGGCTTCACGAAGGATGATGTTGAGGCAGCACGCATTGCGATCTGTCCTGCAAGTATATTCTTAAAAGATCTTGAGGGGTTTCTTCGGAGAGGGACGGGGACTTCTTCAGTTGTGGGGACATTCAGAAAAGTGACAATAAAGTTCTTGAAAGCAGAAAACATCAAAACATCAGGAAGCATCAGAATCATTCCGAAAACCTGGGGACGCAGCGCCCAGGCTTCCAGTATGGCCATGGGGTACTCAAGGCTCTTGTTGTCCACAGATGCTTTTCTTTTGCAAGCAAATGAGCAATACTGGAGCACAACACAACCAAGTCTGAACACGACCATAGCCGCGAAAGTATCGTGCAGCATGTCAGTCACTCTGAAAATCATTTGCGACACAAAACAGGAAAGTGCAAATGCTTGGACACTTTCTAGGGTTTTGGGTTGTTTTTCATTGTTCTGAATGTTCATGCTTGCTAGCTTTTGCTGGTTTGTTCTTGAGTGGCCTGTGATTTCTCTTTTGAAACTGGGCCGAGACATTGGAAGTGCTGCATCAGTTTTTGGCACATGGTGGGTTTCCGGGGCCTGGCGCAGCGAAGGTAAGGTTTCGTGCATGGAAGGGAATCTTTCCTTGATCTGACCCCTAAGTTAGCTTGCCTGGGGCACAGCTTCAGACTACACCAATGGTTCTGGATACTCGTACGGAGGGGTAACCATGAACAGCAATGATTTCTTTTTCACTCGAAATCATTCTTCGTGATTTAATGTTTTACCTCAAGCTTTCCATGGCACTTCAAGAGGCACTTTTCTGAACAAAAACCCACAAGATCTTGCTTGATATAAGTAGATTCGTCGGAGTATCTGAGTTAAATTGCACATGTGGGACAGCCAGCGTTAATACTGCTGTTCCCTGTCCAAACCATGCTCGCACTTGCCCTGTGGCTGACAGGCCAGTGCAGCTGTGAATGGCGACGGACTGAAACAGAGCCACATCGAAGAGAAAGTACAGTAAGCCGCAGACGGCAGGAGTGCCCACAGTGGCAAACCTCTGTCATTTGCACGAAGAACTGACGGACTGGTTCTTCATCGATCTCGCTTGGCGAACAAGAAAAGCTATCTTCTTGCTGTCTGCATGTCTCTGCTTGATGATGGGGTGTGTGTGTGGGCCGAGAGCTGCGCAGCATAGATCTGACGACCTGAGCGGATTGAGTGATTCGTTTCTGCCGAAGGAGCACTTTGCATCAGTGACGTCCAACATAGACTTCTCTAAGAGCTTCGCCGTGTCTATGGCAATTCACTGCAACGCAGTGGAAGCCGGGAGACAAGTTCCCGCTGACAAATATCTGCACATTGCGCCACCTATTTCAAGATAACCGTGCCGCAATAAGCACATGCGCCGACGGTCAAATCACGGCCACACAGCTTGCACCAGGAGGCGCAAAGAATTGGGTGCAAGGCCTGCTCAAGCTAGTTGAGCTGTCGCGCTGCGCGCCGCTTTGGCAATCAGCAGCTGTCTTATTGTAACCAGTCGCAGCTACCTCGATTCATCGGCAAAGCTGAGAAAACAAGAACAACTGTTTCGCTCAGGAGGTTGATCGGCTGTTCCTTGTCGTATGCTCTTCTTGGCACATCCTCACGGCCTCACGCTTCATTGCTGTGCCATCTCGAGACGAAAGGTACGTGACAGACATAAGACTGAACTAGGCCATTGCTTTGCCCGATCGAATTTCAGTTTTAACACTGGGAGCCCGTTGAGCTGCGCTGTTGCTCAAGACATTCGGTCCACACAGCTTGCAATGAGTCTTCGACGACATCTTCGACCTGCTGCGAGGCAGACCATTGCAGACACCCCGTTAATTGACACTTGCAAACTCAGAACGTACGAAGTGGAAGGTTGGTGAGGCCCTTTGCCTCGGCCGAAGATCACTGTTCGGCCGCCATCGCAGCCGTCGTGTGCAAACAAGCCGCAGGCGGCCGGTACCACCCTGCTTCAATGAGTCCTTACACTGAGATGCTATGCAGTTGCGTTTCGGACAAGCAGGTGATAGTCCGCGTTACCTCCTCATCAATCGCCACGTCGATGATTCAGGCAAACTCTTGGTTGGTCGATCAGCTGCTTATGCATGAGGGCCAGAGTCTTGTTTGACAAAGAGTGAGCGTTGGACTGATTTGGGCGGTGCATCGCTATGCGCCCAAAACATCTCCCGATATGGATGGTGTGACACCTTCGTGCCAGGACCTGCAACGCTACGCCATCCATTTGGTCTACCGTTGGTGAGGCATCGGATTCTTCCTTCAAAATCATGCACCGCACAGACTCTCTCCTCCAGTTCAGTGATTCTGACCTCACCCTCCGCCTCGGAGGTTGAATCCAGGTGAGGCAGCAATTGCCACGCCCTTGTCGTTTTGGGAGTTTGCTAGTGGTTGCTTGCAGCGACCGCAGGGCTGTGTGTTGACCTACCGGGTCCAGTGCTGTTGCAGCGTCTCACGGACTGCCAATGATCTTTGACCTTGGACGCTTGCATTCTTAATCCAAACGTTGTTCAGGTCGCTGCAGCCCGAGCCGTCGAAGAAGAATGTGGCCTGTCAGCCGCATGCTCGAACCGGCAGCTCTCTGCCCTTCCAAACCTCTCTTCCTTGTCATTTTCCCCGCCTTCCGTGATCTCGCTCCACTTCCTTCCCTCCCTTCTCCTAACTTTTTCGAAGTACTACTTATACCTTCACCTTCAATGTCTCCACATCATTCCACATCTCATGAAGCTGAGCCTTTGGACCATTATCGTATCACCTCCCTCCCTACCTCCCTCCACCCTACTACTAAAACCGTTCTTGCTCTGTACCGCTTTCTTGTTTCCGCTTCCAGTGATTATGTACACCGTCATGAATTGAGGCTGCGTGATGCACAACATCTGCATGCATCAAGATCTGCATGTTGAGAAAAGAAGCATGTGCATCAGCACGTGCGCAGTAACATGCATACACATAGAACAAGCCATGAACAGAGAGATAGGTAAACATACAGGCAGAGATACAAAGTGAGAGAGACAGCGAGAGGGAGGGAGAGACGGACGGACAGACGGACCGACCGAGACAGACAACTCCGTCAAGAAATGGATAACGGATGATGTGACTGTCCCAAAGGGCTTGAGCGGAGCAGCCATTCGTTCTCAGGCCGAGTCCTTGCGCTGGCATCCGGTGCCTGGCGGCAGAAGGCTCTGCTTCGACGGTGCGCCACCCGTTGGTTTCGTGAGGTGCCCATCACCGCAGCCACATCTCACCGACCCTCAGAGAAGTGCAGCTGCCTGCCTGCATGCCTGCCGCGGCCGGGGACTGGGGTGTGGGTGGGGGGGAGGGGAACGGAGGGTGGGCTGAAGCGGAAGCTGCGCCTGCTAACGTTCTTGGCTACATGGTGCCATCCAAGGCTTTCTGATTGCATATTGCTTCGCATGGTACATTGCGACGGGCGAAGCTTGGTCTCATTCTTGGCGCTTCGTGTTGCCAAATTCGAAACCGACTTGTAAAGTCACGATCTCAGGAAGGATACTTTCCGAACCCTTTCGAAGACAGCTTTAGGCGCATCAAGGCTGCAGCGTGTTCTTCCATGCTCGCTCTTGCGGGCCGATTCAGGTGGTCGGCGGGTGAGGAACTGCGAGAAGTCGCGCGGAAGAAAGCTCTCGGCCTGTCTTTCGCACGCGAGGTGCCGCGACCCTGCAAAGCCACTGTGCAAAGGCCTTGCGCATGTGTGTAGCCGTGGCGCCCTCCGGAGGTACTGGCACCCCTGGAGATCACCGAAGAACTTCTCCGGAAAGATGTGCTGCAGAGGCCCGTTCTTGGTCATTTCTGACAGCCGGCAACAAGAATGCCAATTGGCGACACGGTTTAGGTCTCAGTGCGATTTCCTCGACAGGTCTCAGCCAGAGGAGTGGTGAGGGTGCATGAGAAAAACTGCTCAGTGTTCCCCTGCTACGTCGACGCTCCTCCGGTGGCCTGCGCCTTCTACGTGGATGTTGCTCGGTAAGCATGCGCGGAGCATGCCTCCGAACCTGTCGCAGCAAACTTGATGTCGAATACGGGCCTGCGCTGGAACCGGCGTGGAACCAGCAAGAGCTGATCACACCTCACCGAAGTGCTGGCTACAGACACCGATCTTCTCACCCAGGGCCGGCTAGAATCGTGAATGACAGTTCCAGGTTGGCTGCTTCAGTGCGAGGACATGCAAAAACCCTTTCGGTTGGATCATGCACTGCTGCAAAGAACCAAGACAGAGTGCAAAAATGGTGCGAGCAGTCCCGGATTTGAGTATCCGAGCACATGTTTCAGTTCCGACTGTATGCATTTCGGAAACTTAGCATTGGCCTAGTTGGCATGCAGTCATTGCTCACATCCCGATGTGAATGGCTCCAGTTTCCATTCCGCCGCAGACTTTTTGCAGAAAGTCGGTCAAGAGGCTTTTCCCGGCAAGGTCAGGCATGGCGGGATCTTCCTGTTAAGTTCAGAAATTTCAGACCGCCGTACGATGAGTTTCGATGTGCTTCGACATCATCACAGAATACAAGCTATGATAACGAATGGCACTGCACTAGTCTGGGACAACCGTTCTATAGCGTCTGTGTAGAGGCCTTGATGCAGCCGCGTGCTGGCCTGGAAATTGCCGTGAGCTCAATCTCTGAGAGTCCCTTTCGAACTCCCGGCGACCCCTCCTCCTCCTCCTCCTGTTATTCCTCTCGTGCGAAGGTGGGGGAGACCAAGCACCTACTTCTCCTGCAGCCCTGCGAGTTGCCCACGGACAGCTCGTGACTGCCTTGCATTGCGCTGCATTTCTCAGTGTTGGGGCCGTGCAGGAGAGCTTTCCTACAAGCATTTGGTGCTTCGAACAGAGCTTCGAGCTGAAGCCTGGAGCTCACAGAACTTTGTCCCAGAAGACAGCCGGCTGGGCTTCGCACGGGAGGTCCTCCGCCCATTCGTTTCCTTGGGCTCGGAGAGGCTCAGACTTTGCACAGAGTCTTGGCTCGCGGCCACAACTCACGGAACGGGAGCTCCAGCCATGCTGTTACTGTTGCTGCCCTTGTTGCTGTTTCCTGCTGACTCTCGTCGTCGTCGTCGTCGTCGTCGTCACAGCTTCTGGCCAGAGCTGCCGTTCCGTTTCGCATCTCTCTTCCTCTTCGGCACTCGGCTTCTGCTGACCTCGTGGACCCGTTGTTCGGACGCCGAAGATGTTATTCCCTAGCGACAGTTTGATGCATGTGCGGCCACACGATTGGGCCATGCCACAGGTGCAGAGCCCGTTGATCCACCGGAGCCTGTGGAGACTTGTAAGAGAATTGAAGGCCAGGGATCGGTAAGCCCCCGCCCATGTCGAAGCTTCGTCATGTTGCGCTTTGACGAAAAGCATCTGCCCATGCAGGGGCTTCCAGGAAGCTCTGCAAAGCCAAGCCCGCAGGCCTGCAAAAAACATGCAATCGTTTCCGGTCCTGCTCTCGGCACAGGTACTTTCGATCGAGGCCTTGATGCTACTGCTGCGCCAGCTAAAGAAAACTGAGTTTTGGCTGTTTTGGTGTTCAAGATGGCTATCAAAAGTGACAGTCTTGCCACTTGCCACAATGGCGAGGGCTCTTCGATGGTGCGGTGAGAGAAGCAGAGAGGAGCTAGATGCCCGGTTCGACTGGAGCAAAGACGGCTCACACACTTTCCTAATTTTCGCCGAGGTCGGGATGCGGTGGTTTCTAGCTGGCGCAAGCTTGGCCGCGGGCGGAAGAGACGGGCTTTCGAGCCGGAGCCGGGCTCAGAGCACAGCGACACACGAGGAGTCACCTCCACTGCTCCAGCAATCTGTGATTTTTGCTTGTCCGAGGTTGAATCTGGAGCCAGCGGAACGATGTTCCTACATAATTTCCAGAGGCGACTCTTGGTCTCTCCGCCTCCGCTCCAGCTCTCGTGACCACAACAAATGCGAAGTTGAAACATGTTGAAACAGTGCAGGTGGCTTCAGGACCGCGGTCTCGGGCAGTCCCTGCAGACCTGGCGACAGCTTGCAGTGTACGGATGGCGGTGGCCAGAGACTTGCGTGGGCCAGGCAGAGGAAGAAGCAGTTGGATCCCCCGTCATCTGACGGACGAGTCGCCCGGCGCTTCATGTACTTCGAGTACACACCTCCTAGTTCGTCAAGACCTCAGAAGAGAAAGCTTGAAGCTAGCAGCGATCCCTCTAAAGTGCCCTCCCAGACCATCGTTCTGCTTCTGTGCTAAGTGCCTTTGTCGACATTGCAGACCACTGGTATCTGCACAGCCAACGTTCTGGGATGCTGTAGACACGCATCTGCCGCCGCAGCAATCAAAATCTTGGAATCGCCCGGAGGCCTGAGAATGCCCAGCTGCATCCCGGCCCTGGATGGGAACGCAAGAAGCTTGGAATTCTTTCCTGTTCTGCATATCTGCAACCACAAACGCCGCTGTTGCGGTTTCCGATGCGATACTGGCGATACTGTTTTTTCAGGTGCATATCATGGGACTTGGTTCTATGGCCTGGCCAACATCCTTCGTCACGGAGTGCTGCTGGAATCGAAGGACGCATCGTGCAGACTGCGGGTGCGTACTTCACAGTTGCTTCTACACATAGCATTTCAGTTTTTCTAGCTTGCGAAATCTAGACCTGTCGGAGCTGATCCGCACTCAGTCCGACTGACAAGGCCTGGGCTAGAAGACCGCAGCGGCATCAGAGTAGGCGTCCAGGTCTGGATCGCTTGCCGCCTGCCAGTGTTCAGGACGAGGGCTTGGGGCACGAGTTCTTTGTACCAGGCTGGATTTTGTTGCCAAGAGTGCGGGGGGCATAGTGGCTTTTGCTTGCCAGGTGTCTATTTGACACCAAGCCTCGCGACGGCCAATTGGTACGCCAGACGCTCGGTCTGTTCGTGATTTAGCCCGGCAATGCCTGGCGCGCGATCCATTCCGAACCTGTTGGAGGCCAGGCCTCAGACGGTCTTCGACGACGGGGCATTTCACCGAGTGATCTTGGAGGCAAGCTGGGAGAGGGACCTCCTGCCTTTCCACAGCTAGAGACGAGTCTGTTATGGAGGTGATGTACGATCCCAGCAAGGTGAGGCACAAACGAGATCGAGGATGGGTCTCCAGTTCGTCTCGAAGTCCGCAGCTGCCATGGTGACTGTCTCAGGTGGAGGCCAAATTAGTCTATGCCTCGGGGGCCGGTGTCCAGATGAGAGGATTCCTGCTGCCTTATGCCACTGAGTTGTTAGCAGCGACTCTGTTGCGATCGTCGGTATCATCCTCCAACTCAACTCGCCGCCAGAAAAAGGCGAGGCAGTCGAACCGTCATGGTCCGTCTTCACCTCAAGTCTTCCGCGATTCCAGGCGAAGAGCGCTTCGAAACTTGGCAAGACGACCTGGAAATTGTCCCACACAGCTTGGACCTCCGTTGCAGCAGCTTGAATTGATGTCTGTGTGTGGCTAGATCTGGTAAGGCGGCTGGTGTTGCCAGCATGACCGCGGTGAGCAAATTGCTCGACGCCGGCGCATGGTGTCACGCAGGTACAGCGCTGTCACGAGCAAAATTCTGCATTGATGCCCAGAGCATAGGGGAGTGTGGGCCGTCCACGAAAGTTATTCCGTGCACAGAGAAGGGGATTGTCACGAGCAATTGGCTTTTACGTAGCCTGGCTCGAGCAACTGCTGTCGTTTTAGCGCAGCGTGCAGCCCAGGTTTGGCGTGCTTCGTAGCACGGGTGCAGGTGGTGCAGGTAGGGAGAGACGAACTTCCTTTCAGGGCCATGGTCAAGCCGGCGGAGATGCGTAGCGGAAGGCCCGAGCAACCAGAGCCGAGCTTTCGTGTAGCGACAGCATCACACTGCCTCGCAGTGCTTCGAGGCCTCCTCAGAGGCCGTCGTCGACAACCAGGCGAGCTCTCCACATGATTGAAGAACTGCCACCGAACATTTTGGTGGTTCTGTCAGTGTGAATCTTGTGTCGCGCTGGTACTCGACTCCTCACCGGTGTTCGAAAGTAGTCTGGGCAGTCCCAGCAAGTTTCGCAGCAGACTGCACGCTAGTGTATAAGGGCAGCTGCAGCAGGCGAGAGAAGCTTGAGAAGATGTACTGCCGGGAGGCCGAAAAGGCCCTGACAAATGATGTGCACGCTGCCTTTCCTTGTGTTTGCAGTGCCTGTCCGCATCGCACAGGACTTGCTGATTACCAAGTACAAGGAGAAGCTCCCGGGACTGCAAAGGAAACCCAAAGCAAAGGAAGTGTCCGCCAACCTGCCTTTGCCTCAGGTTTCTGGGCCCTCAGAGTCTGCAGGCCGTCTGAGACCCAGCGTCGACAGCATAGGCAGCGGGCCTGGGCCCGGCCTCAAGGCTCTTTCAAGAAGAACACATTTATGAACTTTTTTGAAGAAATCCTTCTGAGGAAGCGCGGAACAGCGACGTCCTTTCCGTAACAGAGGAGCCGCATGGGGAGTCTCGCTGGAAAGCTGTGATGCGTTGTGGGTGGGGATTCGGGTTGACTGGCGGGTATGTGAAAGAGGCCAACGTGGCACAGATGGACGTGGATCATGAGTGCTGCCCCAAGTACCGAAGGCAAGCTTGTCGGAACAACCACTGTCAGAGCAGCAAGAAGACCACTAACAACCGAGGCGCAGACATGCACAGACGTGGACTGAATGCCAAGGACGGTCCCAGTTGTGGAGGAGGATGCCATGTCGTCCTACAGTGTCTCTGCGTGACCTGCTGCAAGGCAGAAGGTAAATTGACGAGTGTCTGTAAGCGCAATGGTCTCCGCGAGAGTCATGTCTTGCTCAGGTACACAACGGGCAGCATCCCGCTTGACAAACGCGCTGCAGGACTGAAAACGGTCATGTGCGTGAAGTGTAGTGTAGATCCTCGACATTTTGAAGTTCCACTCTGCAACCTTCCTGCTCTGACTTGCTAGGAGCCGGCGCAGCGCCTCTGTCTGCTTGCTGCTAAGCCTCGAACCCTCGATAGGCCGATGTGTCGTGACCAGATCCATTCGCGGCTCAGGCAAGGGCAGCAACCGCGCAAAAGCCTCCTCTCACAGGCGCTCAACAATCAGCTCGTTTACTTCAACAGTGACAGTTTGCTGCTTCGGTCGTGGTAAGCATCTTGACGACACCGACACGATCAGTTCTGGTTGCGGTCCACAGTCGTGCATTGGACTTGGCTTCGTCTACCGGTTCCTGCATCGCAGGATCTGGCGCGCTGACGGCACGATTGCCAAGCAATCCTGTTAGAAGCAGAGGTTTGGAGCTTGGCCACGTGTCATGACCTGGCATGAAGGGTGCATAGATGCTATGTATAGACATCAGCGGCTGCCTTCTTCTCCGTTGTGCATGCAGATGCCAGCGACAAGCCGTCTTCAGTGCTGGGCGATGCAGTGTTGACCTCAGCGCAGCTTTTTTGAAATCAATGCGAAATATCCAGCGAGCATAGCAAAGAGTCCAAGAGCCTTTCATTCGCTGGACCAAGTCTGCGAAGTCAAGGGGTCGGTGGCGAAACAAACGACATGACTTCGTCCGGGTTGGGTGACTTTGCGATCTCGTCTCTCTCGGTATGTGCTGGCAAGCATCGAGCAGGGCGTGTCCAACTTCGCGTAAAAGCTTTTGCTTGTCACATGCATGATGTCATTCAGGAAGTGACATGTGACGGATGCTGGAGTTTGGCCTTTCGCTATGAAATGATGCTGCTGAGTTATTTTTTCAAATCCACCATTGCGCCCTGCCCCGACCGCCAACTTGCTTATTGCTGCACGAGTCTGTGTGAGCAGCATGAGGCCTACTTGTCCGCCCCTGTTGACCCTCCGGCGCTGGCGAGTATCGGTGAGCAACACGAAGGTTGGACTCGGTTTTGCTTGCACTGATGCCAAGCGAACACAAAGCCGGTTGTGGAACAATCTGGGCCGGCTAAGTATGCTAGAACATGAGCTAGTTCTGTGCTGCACATTCCGGACGATCTTTCTGCAGAAGCCGTCGCTGCGGCTCCGTGTGGCACTGAGCGGTGTCACAGGTCTCGGGGGCAGCGCGGAGCACGGCAGTTTTGGCAACTAATTCACGACTTAACGCATGAGAGGAGCAGATATGCAAAATCAAATTGTTCACTAAAGTCTGTGACTGCTGAGGCCTGGACAAGACGGTTTGGAGTGGCCGCGGCCTCTGAGAGCAGCATCCCATTCTAATCTGCAGCTCTGCCGACTGAATCAGCTAGTCATCGAAGAAAGGTCTAGGCGTAAGCTAATTTTTAAAGCTTTTGCAAACGGCGAGAGGTCCGTGTTGGATAGACTGGCCGCAGAGTTGCACAAACAGGACAGCGGTTTGCCGACATGTCGACTCGCCACAGCTTGTCGTGTCCGCAAATGCCACAGGACAATCAACGGGCCAGACAAAGAGAGCTCGAGTTTGGACCTCGTGGCGAAATGATGCGAAATGCACATCTGCATTTGCAGCTTTGAAGTTTGGATGAACGTTTTCGCGAGGTTGAAACAAAAGCTTCGGCATGACCTCGACAGACAGATGGCTGATGAAAAGCTGAAGCAGGCCTGCGCGTGCACTCATTGATGGTTGTGCCTATCGAATACTAAACTTCTACACAAGCAGCCATAGCTTGTCCACAGCATTCCACAACGAATCAGGCTAAAACACCAGTTGCAGCAGTGACAAGTTTGCAGCTGGACGGAGGTAGGCCCCTGCTGAGCCGGGTCGAGGGTTCGTGGCAATGCGAGGCCACACGGCCCCTAGATGCATGAGTCCCCAGCTGCACCAGGTGGTGATGGGCGCAACAGCGTGTGCCTTCATGCATGAAGACTTGCATATGTTAATTTGCGATTTTGCCGTCGATATTCGCAGCCTTTCAGTTCGCAGCGTGGTATCGAAGTGCTTTGCCCTAAAGCTGAGCCTTGCGAAAGCAGGGGTGAGCCAAACTGGTCGCTGACTTTCCGTGGCTTGAGAACTTTGTTGGTGAAGTGACCCGCAGCCTGGGTCTTCTGTCTGGTGGTGGCGTATGCTTCCGATACGGATCCCAATAGGTTCCTTTCTATGCCACCAGTGTCGGCCCACCGCTTCATTGATGGAACATGTTTGAGTCTGCAAGTGGCCTTTCGCGAAGCGCAAATTTCGTGACTCGAGCTTGATCATGAATCCATTTCCAGCAGTTATCTCCCAACACTAGGCTTGGAACGCAGAACCTTAGATGCTCAGCCTGCTCTCAACATGAACGTGCGTGTCATCTTGAAGTCCTAGCAGGAGCGTGCCAAAGCTGAAGAGCAGCGCTATCTCCAAATTCAGGACTGCGGGGGACAACTTGCGACATCAATGCACAAGTGTCCCGAACCTGAGCAAGTGCACGAGGAAGAGCACTCCAAGATTCGGAGCCTTGGCTGTAACTTTTGCGTTAAGGACTTTCGGATTTCTGGGCTCTTCTGAGACCATGGTGCATCTCAGAGCATGCGCAAGAAATCCCTCGGGCTGCGAAGGGCAATGGAGCTGGAGGCTCGAGCTTCAGCCCGACTCCGCAAGGCGGAGCACATGCGGCACATGTCAGGGCTAACGACACATAGCTGACATAGCTCATGTAGCCGCGCTGGATCCTCGCATATTCTCGCACTCGCACCTGTCCGATCTTGAGCGCATCTCGATGCCTGCGACGCAGCCTGCAAGCCAGTGTGCTTGGCGTTGCTGCGCAGGTAGAAGCGACGCAGAAAGACAGGGATGGCCAGCTTGCCTTGATAAGATCCCAAAGAGACGAGGACTGTCGCTTTTGCAGCGTCAGACTGGATCCACCAACCTAGATGCAGTGTTTGGAGCTGTTGTAGAACTCTCATTGTGCTTGCTCGGAAGGAAAAGCAACGCCAGCAAGCAGAAAGGCAGGAGCTCCTGGACAGTTTGCGTGCGGTGCTTAGTTGTGCAGCCGGACAGTCAACTTCTCTAGCTAGACAGGGTTTGCTACCCATTGACCGCGAAGTGCATACGACATGCATGCATCATATGTTCCCCGCTTTGCTGAAGCTGAGACCGTGACATGCAGCGGGATCGGCAAGACGCTGAGGACTGTCTGGGTGCAAGCCAGAACTTGCTCAAACATCCTGTAACGCTGTAAAGCATCCAAGAGCATGGCAAACGATTAGGAGAATGAGTAGTGACTCGGAGGTGCCTTGCTGTGCATTGTAGCAGCGCGGTTGCGATCCCTTTGTATCAGGACCGCCTCAAAGCGCGCCGGGATCAAGTCCACAAGGCAAGTAATTATCATATTTGGCATCCTGGTTGTGTCTACGCCTGTGCACTACGTATGCTTCGACAGGACTTCGCGGAGACCGCGGAAGCATCAAAGGTACGTAAGGCATGATACTTGCTGTTCCACAGTCCGAATTCGCTCTGAAATCCACTGCAACCATCTGAAAGCCGCAACAGGCAAAAGCCGACGAACTGGCCGTCCACGAGCAGCAGCAAGTCGAGGTGCCATTGTGCCGTCTCTCGAGTCTGTATCAGCAGGAACCCCAAAAACTCAGAACAGTAACGCGCTAGGAGTGACTTTTGCTTGATGTTCTCGTTGGTGTGGTACAGCGGTCTTATGAGCAATATTTGCGAGATACAACAACAAGTTCTGCTCCACTCTCGGCTGTTCTGGTCTTGAGACATCCAGGCCTACGAAAAGCTGCGAGCTCATCGGGAGGAGAAGCGCCGAGAAGCAGCAGAGAAGGACACGCGGGCGGTAAAGCTCGGATAGCTAAAGTTTGCGAAAGAAAGCTTGCAGGAAGCAGCGCAGAGAAAGGAGATCGAGAAAAACGCGGGTCTTCGAGCTGCTCGTATGCAACTCTAGATTCTGGAAGCGCTGCTATGTGGTGCACGGAGTGCACTGTACTGTACTCGGTACTCGACATTGCACCGCGAGGCTATGGCCATGCAGAAAATGGCTGACGATACGGAGCTGAAAGCAGCGGCAGAGCGGGCAGCAAAGGAAAGACACTTGGCTTTGGAATTACATCGGAATCGGTCAATCGCAATTTTTATGGCCAGGAGCTTGCAGCCGAGAGACAGGAACAGGCCTGGAGTTGTGAGACCCGGAGGTGTTTCCCCGAGAGTTCCGTCAGGCCACCCGTAAAAGGCTGGAAGACATGAAGAATCAGACGCAGGCCATGGACACAGAAGATGATGGATGCTCTTGCTGTTATTGTGCGTTGTTCCTTGCAGAGGGCACAACGTTCGCAACAGTGCGCCGCGATTGGCAGGAGTACTTGCTGCAGCAGATGAAGGCAGATTACAAGCCCTCAGCTGCATGTTTCAGGCTGTAGAGGGGTGACATCCTGCCACAGCAGGAGAAACAGCTCAAGAAAGCAACAGAGGCAGAGAAAGCGAGGCAACCGAGAGGGAACTTGCAGCCGTGCATGTCATGTCCTTTGGAAACACCTGCACAGTGATATGCCATGATGCACGTGCCCCGATACATGGCCTGTGGCTCAGGCAGCTCGCTTCCGCACAGGCAGCTGAGGCAAAACAACTCGAGGCAACTTCCTGCATTGCAGGTTCCATGTCACATTGGGCTGTGTTCCACATGTGAGATATAGCGGAGCTTTTGGTGGGTTCCAAAGCCGCACGTGTTTTTCGACTCAATGATGCTGTTGTCAAGCAGGAGTCGGCAAAAATCAAGTCGCTGTGTCGTGCACATGCAACAGGCCCAGGAACAAGAACGAATGGCCCGCAAAAAGTGTTGCCGACCTATTGAGGGTAGTCTTTGCGGCAGCCAGGCACTGAAATCCGGCTGCTAGATTTTATCAGCTAGAGGATCCGAGTGCCAGGAAGATGATCCACGATCATCGCAAAGACCTGGAACGGCAGATTGCTGCAGATACCTCAGACATTGGCCCACAGCCACAGCAATGCATGCTTCTCACTGCTGAGGCTCGAGCACGCCATGTGCCGCAGGTTGGAGTTTTTTGATGCCTCTGCTTCTGCAGAATCACAACCAGCCGCAGAACCTGTGGCTTTGCTGCAGCAGTCAAAGCGCAGGAGACCATGAGTGACTGTGAGCTGCGGCTCAACAAGCAGCTGCTGGAGAAGGCTCGCAGCGATGCGTTCGAGCCGATTATTTTGCATAACCCAAGCTGCAGAAAGCCTCTGCCCAGGTCACGTTGGTCTCGGCCTTGGTGTACTTGTTGTGCGCATGGCCTCTGCCAGCTGAAAACTCAAGCACAGCTGGCGGGGTTGAGATTTTCGTCTCTACCTTTCGAGTTCTTGTCTGCAATGCCAGTTGCCGGGGAATGTTTGGGACTATGCTTTCGGACCGACTGGCTTTCTGATCTCTTGCTGCCCTTGTCGGCACTGTTGCTCTTCGCATCTGGGAGGCACCTCATGTTCAGAATGCATCGAGAGTCGTATGTCCGAGTCCCCTGCACAACCACGGATGCACTGCCCACGTGCAATGAGGAGCATGCTGAAGAGGTGGCATGCGAACATGCTTGTATGGTTATGAGAGCAGTCGGAATAAGTGTGGCCGTGCTTACTGACAACCCAAGGCTCCGAAGGGTCACTACAGTCATAGAGTTGCGTGCGTCCACACATCTTCACTGCGACTGCTTCGCCCTGCAGTGCTGAAAGTAGAGCAGCCGCTGCCATAACATACGTTCAAATAATTCAGAAATTGGCCTTGGAGCTTTGCGGAGCTAGTCGTGGTCGTTTGAGGAACAAACACATGACGACATGAGTTTTGAGAAATTCCGTTGCCGAATCCTGCAAAGGCAGGCCCTCACTTCTGCACGTTGTCATTGCCGTGAAGTGCTACTTGTCGCAGACTTCCTTTATTTCGATATATTTCGATGCTAGCGGCTGGGGTGCTCTACAAATCCGCGGCTGGAGTGCGCTCAGCTTCCCGCAAGATGGAACGTCTTGCCCATGCTCAGACAGCCACCTCACTTCCTCAGATACTGGTAGGGGTGGCCCTCGGCTGTCCAGAAGGGGCCAAGAATTGTCGCTGGAAAGCGACTAGCGTAAAATTGACATCGACATGGCTGCACTGCTCGTTTGGGTAGTGCCTGTCACAAGCCCAGCAACTTGAACCATACTGAGCAGTTGGCATGCAGTAAAAAGGCACATGGGCCGGAGCAGCACGACGCCGCATGCGAAGGGAGCCACCTACACCACTACCAATCAAATGTCTCATTGCCGCGAGGAAAGGGTGTCACTCTTGGAAGCTTTGGTAATGCTTCTGTCCGCTTGTCAAACGTTACTGAAAATCCGACATACGTATGTCCTCTGTCCAAGTGAAGCATGGAGATTCTACTTCATAGACTGCTGACAACTCGGGCACCATTGGTGAATGGTCTCCTTCATCGCTTGCCGTCTACACGGTTGGGTTTACGGTGCCAAGCTTGATCTTCACGTTGCGAGGCCTTAACGGACATCTCCAGCACAGCCAAGACGTGTTGAATGTTCGCTGCAGTCGCCAAAGTTCAGCACCAGCGACTCTTTTCAACGCTCGTGTCCTCAAAGTCGGGACGCGTCTCGGAAGACATAGACACTCGGGCTATATGTAGAATAAATCCACTTAGAAGCATTTCGTATCGGATAGCTCGGACATGTTGCCAGAGCGAAAGTGCATGACAGTCCCATGTTTCACAGGCAGCAGTCAGACAACAACAGTTTGACTGCTTCCGAGTTCAAGCATACAGCACTTCTGAAATGCAGGAGGTGCCCGCAGCTTGATAGTTGATGGTCGTAAAAGCCGCCCCGCTTCTCATTCCGCTATATCAAGCTACAAGTCGGTCGATTGAACGAGATTCGTAAGTCTCCGCCGATTCAGCGGCTCATCCTCGTGCTGCTGAATGGAGTGAGCAGAGGATCCTAGCCACTGTCCTGATACCGAAATGCGGGGCCCTCGAACGTGCGTGGGTCGCTTTCTGATTCCGTCGCTTGCTGTTAGCTGAGGTATAGATGCATACGTTCTGTCGCCCTTGCTGCGTGGCCTTGCCGTGGTTTATCATTCGAACATCCTTTGAGCTAACAAATTCTGCTGACTGATGCATCGTTTCAGGACTTTCCCGGTGACCCTTGCCGTATTGCGAAGACAGAGGTCCAGCCAGTCGGCATGGGTCTCTGTGGTTTATGCTGTCTTCTTGCGAAGTCGGGTGCCCGCAGCTTCGCTCCAACATATTCTCAGATTCCGGCAGCAGTCGATAGCGCTGGCTGGTGCCCAAGAACATCTGCTGTTTTGGGTCCAGGGCCAGCTTTGCCCGTGGTGTTACTGTATGACGCAAGCTCATACTGGATGTGTTATGCCCAGATTTGCTCCAAACCAATGCAGCCGCGACAAAAGCTGGCAGGGCTCTCAGGTCTCTGTCGCACATTCGGATGTTCACATGACTTTGTGCTGTCTCGTGTTGTGGTTCCAAGGCGTCGAAACCTTGGGCCCGGCTGTGTGCCGACCTAAAGTCTGTCAGTGTCCGTAAATCGCCTTTGTGCGTCAGGGACTCGGCAATGGGCAGCATGTTTAGCAATGGCTTGCAGCAATAAGGTCGCCTCGCTTTTTCGGTGCCATGAACCTCGGAGAATCCACTTCCGATGAGGTGGTGCTTACTTTCGGACAGATTGTGGCCAGCATCAAGCAGCGATTCGAGTTGGGATTTCAGGCTTTCTCCCATACCGATGCCGGAGATGACCTCGGCCTCGTAGGTTATACCGAAACAGGTTCTGGTGTGGAGCTCGGCAAAGTGGAATGCTGACTGGCAAGCGGTGTACTACGAAGTTTCGCCGGTTTGCAAGTGGCCCTGTGTGCGACATCTAAGCTTCGGCGGAGTCGCAAGTCTTTGCGGAGACGCCATCAGCAGGCGATGGCACCGTCCTGTCGAGTGATGGGCTGTAAGGGCCAGGCCTAGAACAGTGGGCGCAGTTAACCATAACCGTAGAATTTGATATGCTGTTTCATCAGGCTGCTTGACAGTACGATTCTGTGCAGAGCCGACTTTGGAATAGAGACGCACGTACCCACTTTGGCTTTTGTGCCAGGCTCCAAAGAGGCTTGGCAGACCTTTTGGCCAGGATCAGCAAGCGTGCCCGGCACTCGAAACTTGTTGAATGCCCATGTTGCCTACATCATGACTTTCGTCTTTGGTCGTGCATCGAGCACGAGGCCAACAAACCGAATTGGGCCGAAGCCGAGCTGGGTGTATTCGAACACCGAGCAGCTGCCTCAAGCACGGGGTGTCGCAGAACCGGAGTGTCGCTGCTGCTTCACAGGTTCATGCAGCCTTATACGACAAGTGGCTTCGAGCTCAGCCTCGGAGTGCTTCGCCCCTCCGTCAAAGCCGTGTGGAAAAAGCCAAGCCTGAGGTGAGGGTGTTCCACGGCAGGGGCTGAAGGCGAAGTGCTCGCGACACTCACGCATACGACCCGCTGGAGCACATATGGCCATGTCCACCCTGCATGCGGTGCGATACCGCCAAGAGCATTTCCCCGCTGCTTCGCATAACTTCGCATTTTCGAGGATGCGACTGGCTTGTATGCTCGGACATGCTGCCAGCGTAGACACCAGCATTTCCTCATCATGACAGTGACAGCGCACTAATATTATTTACTTCGCTGTTCACTGCAGCATGCGACCTGTGGGATGCTCTAAGCCACTGTGAAAATTATGTCCTGATTGCGCAGGCTGCCAGATGGTTCGACAACTCTGTTCTACAGTACAACGGCACATTGCCAGCATTCTCCATGTGTTCAGAACCTGCTCTCGGCTGCTTGCACACAACCGCGCAGTTCCGTTGCCCCCAGGTATGGGCCAGCCACAGCTGCCGTGACCCCAAACAGGAACTTTGTTGCTGCCCTAGCTTCGCGTGGCTTCCACTCAGGCCTCCATTCGGGGTCGGGGCGCGGTTAGTTGAGTCCTCGGCCGCCTCCACGTCTTGGGCTACTTGGCCTTGCAAGTGTGCTCGCTGAGCTGTCCTGCCGCATGAGATGCTCCATGTGTACCGTCAGGTGCAGCGGGCCGTGAATACCAGCCTCCTGTGCAAAGAGGCTCTTCCTGTGCCGAAGCCTTTTCCTCAACAGTGTGCAGCATTAGGCCGACAGCTGTGTCTCGCCAGGCTGGCTGCACAGCAACTTCGAAGCTGCAGGTTTTCGATCCGCGGCAGGAAGAAGCCCAACTTTGCAGGCCCGCGTCACTAGCTTCTGATTCTGACACAACCAGCATCAACCAGCTACTCTGCAGCACAACAACCGAAGGATGAATTTATAAGTCACATTAAGTCACCTATGTCCTGACTTTCAGAAAGCAGATGCCGCTGGAAGCACCACAGTTCATCGGCCAGGCTCACGATTGAAGTGCATCCCACTGACTACGACAACCTGTGGAGCAAGGACGCAGTGAGAGACGAGAGTTGTTTATATCTCCGTCCGACCATCCGACCGTCGCCATTACAATTATGTTGCAGTCATCGCATCATCCGTCATGTTGTGCAGGGCTTCATCCTGTTAGAAAGGTCTGTTTGGTTCTGACAGATGCAGGAATTCGTTCGCATCTGGAAGATTAACGAACATTTGGCAGAGACCTGAGATGGCAGAGTCGCATCGCATAGTGCCCATCTCTTTATGCCCACAGGCCACCGCCAGGTGTGATCCACATGCGCTGGGCTGCAACGCCGCAGCCTTTTCAGAAAAGTGGGGATCGGAAAAGCCTCCACGCCTCGGCATGCTCCGGCCCGAGGCATCGGCCTGGCGGCCCTTGGTGCCGTGCTTGCAGGATTTGAATGCCGGGAGCTCGGCGAGTTCGCCGAGTTTACTGTAAGCCTTCTCCTGCACGTCTTACAGGTCGACCACCTGCTGGCTGAAACCGGCTCACTTCTCATCGAAGGATCCATCAACAAGTGTCTCAGCAGAAACTTCATGGCACTTCCACGTCAATGCGACAGCATGCAAACTTACCAAAAGTCTGAGTGCTTGTTCTCGGCATTCATCCATCAGGATGGTGGATGAGCGCTTTGGCTGAAATGAGTGCTGAAATGCGTGATCTGCGGCATGCATTTGCGCTATGAGATGTGGAATGTTGACGATTTGGCGAGGTGCCCCTACCATGGCTATCTGTTGAACGGCGTGGCTGTTGTCACTTGCATGGCGAGCAGCTTATCATACCCCAAGCTTCCCTCAAATAGAGGGTATGGTGCGTGAGGGTTGCTTGTAGCAACACGTCAAGCGAACCTGTCTCTCTGTGCACTAGTGGGACTGTGCACAGCTCGTCGGCCTCACTGGTCAAGGCCCGCAAGAAGGTGGCCGAGAAAGCCCTGGCGGCGCCCCATGTCACTTGGCTTCAAGGAAACCTAGGCCTAGTCGGTTGCATGCTGCTGCAGTAGCATGTGAATTTGTGCCTTCGTGATGGTGCAGAGCACAGTTCCCGCTCCTAGACTCTTGGACGGTTTCACACTCCAAGGCTTCCTTTGGTGGAGCTCCCAGCGACGCACGCCTCACAGCCAGGGATCTCTCAAATGGGGAGTTGAAGCGTTCCTTGGTTGCTGCGGGCGGTGCAGGGGCTCTTCAGGCAGCCGGTCTCAACGGTGTAGGCCAGGACGCCGGTCTCAACGGTGTACGCTTCGCGCACTTGGACGGCACCGCTGCCGACGACGCAAATGGTTTATTGGGTGCTGCCGGGGGTGCAGCTGTGCTGGGCAGTGACGGCGCTGGCAATGGAAGCAGTGGAACTGGATCGCTTTCTGATGAGACACGAGCACTACTCGGCGACAGGGCTGCAGAACTGGACGATGCGGCCCTGGCTGCTGCCGGTTTGTGACTCGGCTAGTATTGGCGCGTCCCCTCAATTGAACCAACGCCTTCTACCTTCTACTCGCACTCTCATGTCAAAGCCAAGTGACAGGAATGCCGAAGAGATCGCAGAGCTGCGCGCCAAAGCGAGAGCAAACTTCCTGGCAGATGCGTCGTGGCCTCTTGCACACAGACGCATCTGTCTTCAAGTCTAGCACTGCAGAGTTACAGGCTGGCGCCAGGAGCTGTCCTTTCCAACACCACCAGCATGCAGTGCTGCGCATCTGTCACGTTTGATTTTTTCATCGAGCTTACTGCCTGGCATGAACCTGGTCAGTTTGAATATCGTTTCCCTTCCCATTTTTTGGACATGTGTTGGAATTTGCGTTGATGTATAGCAGGCGAGCCAGGATGCCTCTCAGCTGCGCTTGGTGTATGTTCATGCATTTGCCACCCTGCATCCTGCTGAACCCATTCAGGTGCTGTGATGTCTGAGATCCATGTAGACCCGATCTTCCTCAGAGCTGGTGCGCCGCAGTCTGAGAGCCATCCAGTTCACAAGTCCGCATATTTTTGGGCTTGCAGGCCTTTAGGGAGATCTGAGTCCAAGGACTTGCCTCATGAATTTCACGGTGGTCGGGAGCTCGACCGTTCACGAGAACCGGGCGCAATGACACGATGACACGCCCGCACACTTCAAAGTCGGAGATCCGAGGGCATGTTGTGTATGATATGAACTCGCATCACTTTCATACTGAGGGTCAAAACTCAAGATGTTCCCGGCGCCTCAATAGGCCGCTTCGCTTATTCTAATCAGGACCAAGGCGCTATAAAAGCTGACTAAGAACATCGAAGAAGTCATGACGGCCAACCAACGCACGGCTTGTTGGAGTACGACGACGTCACAAGCTGAAAGAACAGGTGGTACATGAGGGTGGGCATCCATCCTCATATCCTAGCTTACCATCTGGAATTTCGTTCGCCACTACCCAAAAGCAAGCCTATGGGACTCCTGCTGCTTGAGTGATGGAACAAGCGGTCTTAACTCCGCTCCGTTAGAAGTTCGGGTAGCAGCCGCGCATAAGCATGCAAAAATGTGCACACCGACACAGGCCCAAAAACTCTTCCTCTATCCGACGTCCTGCTATGAGGTGCAGACTGACTTTGACGAAGCTGTTGGCAACGACGTTGAACGGATCGAGTGCCTCGCCATCCGAAGTTGTTGAATGCATAGGATCAACAATTCGTCTTCTTGCCCAGCGTGTGGCACACGTTTCTTTCTCGGTGCCTGCCTGCATAATTTAACATGCCGCACCCAAGGTTTATCCATGTTGAGGGCCTGGGCAACATCAGCGAGGGCGTCAAGCCCGGAAGGCCAGCCACAGAGTGCCTTTGAGCTTGACCGCTGTCGTCGTTTGAAGCCAGGAACCCCTGCACGGAGGAGCATCGGGCTTAGCTGGCTCCGCAGCAGAACTCGAAGGGAGGAATTCTGCGTAGCTTGCATGGGCTCTGTCGGCTGCTCGAGGAACTGCAATGAAAACTGCTGCCCTTGTTTTCCGGAGCTTCCTAGTGTCGCTCCGGTCACGGCTTTGTTGCAGGATCCATCAGGCCCGAAACTTGAACTTTGTTGAGTCTTTAGCCGGACGATCGTAGGAAGGCCTCGCATGGCCCATCATGGCCCATTCGGAGATGGTGTCTGTGTACTGACGCCTCCGTGTCTGTATGACCTGGGTGAGTCTGTGGATGTAGCTTGCTTGCACACGTGTCGAAGGCCAGCTCTCTGCCCAGGTACAGCACAGGGAAAACCGTACCCATGGAAGACCGAGCACGAGCCTCAGCAGAAAGGGGTGGTGACTCAAAGCATTACGAGGAGTTAGAGGCGCTATTGCGTCATGTGAAGATAATGGTCGTCGCTCTGGCCACGAATCCACCGACAAGGACGTACTGAGGAGTCATGTGGTTCGACAGGGAGATCTGGTAAATAATTATGTGCGTTGTGAAGGTTGTGCACCGTGAACATACGCGAACCCAGGGGGGTGGGGCGGACCGGGAAAATGGGACACAGTCGATGTTTGACTTCCCTGCTCCGAACTGCGCTTCACTGGTGGGCTGCAGCATGTCACGATGAGTGGTACCATTGGCAGACAAAGGTGTTCACTGTCATCCGGAACCGAAATGTCACAGCAGCAATAATGGCTCCGCCAGTCGGCGCCCGAGTTCGGTCCAGCTTTTCCACGGCTTTGTGTGGAACTGCACTGCAGAAGTCACTGTGGCAATCGACAAGCTGCTGTTGAAATTCGCATGCGGCACAGCTGAGATGGGGATGCTGGTTGTCGGCAGCAAGATCTCGCCGCAGGCGCCAACATTCTTTGCCAGGCTGTCACCCTGTTCCTGAGAGTCCTACTTGTAGAGTGTTCGACGTTTGAAGCTTTAGGCTCAAAGTCGTGGAGTTGTGCAAAATGTGGATGTATATTTGGGCCCGTAAAACACGATGTCTTTGCGCTTGTCAGATTGTACAATCAAGTTTCGGCAGCATCCAGATGGCACTTCCGAACTTCGTGCATTTCGTGCTCAAAGCTGTCATTTGCTTCCTCGGCAGGTCGACGACTGTTCCGCCAACGGTGTTTTGTTTGACAGCCAAGTTACACTCTCATGCAAGCTGCCAGAGAAAAGCCCAAAGCTCAGCACGCTCATCACGTGTGGAGTATGCCGAGCTTTGGACTCGTGTCTTGCTCATGCAGAGCTGCTGAGTTTTCACTACTGAGGCTGAGCTCAGAGGCTAGGCGATACCACAAGGTCTCCCTTGCTGAGCAGGGCGAAGGACACGGAGCACCGGCAATTGCGAGAGCACGCCCGTGCTTGTTGCGACATGCTGTTGCAAGAAAAGCATGCTGGCAGCGGGGCGGTGAATCGTGGACGAATGTCACTTCATGTCCTCGGAGCAGCGTTACATGTCTGCTGCCGTCCGCGTAAGCGCATGGGCAGATTCTGCCGAAATGATGCATCGGCTCAATATCACAGAGGTGCACATTGACTGCATTTGGAAACACTCTTGCTTACTCAGCATGGCATCGTCGCAGCCATCTCTGATTTCACATGGCATGTAAACAGTCAAAGGTGCAACAAATAAGAGATGCGCTGCGCTGTTATGTAAAACACCGACCTACTTCTGTCGTCAGTTCCCGAACACCATCACATTCATGCTGATTCCGAGCTGGGGGCCTGCCCATTCATGGTGGAGGCCTTTGAAGATGCTGACGAGGAGGCAAACCGCTTCAAGCTAAGCCGGCTCGGCATGGCTGCGTCGTGATGGCCAGGCATCAAGTCTCGTCGAAGCTTGTGACCAAGAGGCTGGGCGTTCGATTGCTTGGGAGTTATGGTGGTGTTGGAGGGTTTCTGGAGGCATTTCGTTTGTACATGTCGTAGCATGAAGCGGCAGCGGACGTGTCCTGACGATACACCAGGCACGCTGTCTGATCTTTGCCACGAAAGATTTGAACGTTGCTCAGGAGGAAGAGGAGGAGCCTTTTGAGAAGACCAGCAGTAAGGGTCTCAGATGAAAGTGCAAGTGGTCCATAGCGCTGGCTTGACACTGCGCCGTTGAATCAGTTGCAGGTGACTGCCAGCCATTGGTGCAGAGATGGCGTCCGGGGCTTGCATGGTGATTAGTGGAAACGAGCTCGTTCCGGCCATCGCGTGGAGGCCTCCACTTGCTCGAGCAGGTGGAGCGGCGAGATAGCCAACTGCAGGCTTGTGCAGACCTTGATTCAATGCAGCTCGTCAGCGTGTGTAGCTCCGAAAATATCACCTTCAGCCAGCTTTCAGCCATCGCTCACAGCCTCAACCTTATTACTATATTACATTGCAAGCGGATCTCCGGAAGCTTGAAGCAAACTTTTCCGGAAGGGCGTGCAAGCGCTGTACGAGCAGTACAGCGAATGCCGGCGCAGCCTTCAGGCGCTGCATTGTTTTGAGTAATTGGCCACCTGCTTACACTGTAGAAGGTACTGTAGTCTCACAGGAAGTGCACAGACATGACCTTGAGGCTGCCACTGAAAAACTTTGCACACTTATGGATGGAACATACAAAGGACCATGGTAAAACACAGGTGGCAAGAGGAGAGGAAGATTCGTTTCAGGCCACTGTAGGCATAGGCAGAAGGATGCAGAAGGAAGCTGCTAGCATCATTCTATCCGTGAGCAGATGCTTCGGCAGCAGTGGATCGGCTTGAGCTTTTGGCATCCGGTGCCAGCTCTCTGTATGACGTATCGACTCATCGACATCAGCGTAGCCGCTCGAAACTAAGAGCCTTCATATTTCAGATTCCGAGTCTATGTCTCAAGGCGGCCGATGCCAACAAGCGTTGGAGCCCAAGCAGAGCAAGCTTCTAGCCGCTGTTGGCCATGCTAAGGCTATCAGTTGCATATTGTACCATCGTCGTCCAGCAGAACATGGGATTGAGACGGTGTCAGATTTGTGAGAGCCCGAGGTGTGCCTGGAACTGGCTACTTAGTTCCGAAGGCAGCGGACCTTGAAGAAATTTGCACGTCTGTCATTGCCTTGCATTGGATGAATACCCGCATCAAGGACGTAGCCGAGGCCAAGGAGACTTTCCTTCTTGCGTTGGTCGCACGGTTTTTCTGGAAGTCGCAAGCTACTTGGTCTGGTGTCAAAGCTCTATGCACAGGCGGCTCGATGTTCATGCTCGCTGTACTTATCTTGCCAGTTCCTCCTCCAGGAGCTGCACAATGCAGCCGAGAAGCTGCTGCGGCACAAGGCGCTGCCTGCGGGAATTAGATATTGTGGTACAAGATTTGCCTGCATGCCCTAGCTACTCGAGTACTTTATTCAATCACGCGGGCAGCATCTCAACTCAGAATCGGAAGTCTCCTCTCAATTGTCAGTCCGACATTTTGGCGAATAAAGCTTGAAAGCAACGGCAACTGTTCAAAACGGCCGCGCGAGGTTGAACTTCAGGGCTCGCTCCGGAAGGTTTTCAGCCCAGGGTTCGGGCTAAAGGCCCCGGGGTCGAAAAGAGGAGGGAGGCCCAACTTCCTCGAACCTTCAAACGTCGTGCTTTGTAGGTTTCGTTCTTGCATTCCATGTAGCCAAGTTAACGTGAAGTGGGTTCAACCCGAAATGGTGCCGTCCAGTGAGTCCGGGGTGTGCCGAGGGTTGCAGGGAGACATCGGTGAGCAGCTGTCTCCGGTGGCAAATCAACAGATGCGCCACTGAACCGGAGGTGAAAGGGAACCTCGAGCTCATTTCCTCAATAAGACTATATTGTAGAGGCCAGCATCACTCTGACATCCAGATGCCGAGACGCACAATCGCAGCACAGAGCAAAAGATGCGGCAAGAATGAAATCAAAGTAGCTGCCAAGCATTACGTAAGCACAAAAATCTTGAACATACCGCCAGATCTCGAATCAAGCGTGTGACTTGTCTTCATGAAGCTCAAAATTGGACCGGCAATGCCGCCCTGTCCGCTTTAGCTGCTTTCTAACCGGAGGTGTAAACTGGGCTGGAGATGGGTTGAGACAGCTTTTCGCTGAAATTATTCGACTTCAATCCATACGTCCACAGGATAAGCCGAGAGAAAACAGGCAACCCTTCAAGAACCTGTAGCATGATCTCATGATTCGTAAGTCAAGAGCTGCTCGCAGAAATGCTCACATGGATGTTGAAACTCGAGAGAGGTGCAATGCTCATGCAAGCTGACGGTTACAGTGGTGGCATAGAGCCGACGGTTTGTACAGCACAAGTTGCATTGACGCCGCAGTGCTGCAGGAATCTCAGATCCAAGAGCTGCAGAGGCGGGGGTGTTTCTGCTGATAGTGGGTTCATCCTGATCTTGCGATTCGGATTGCAACAGTGCACACGCTCAGGCACAACAAGGAGCTGCTGGATGAGCTCCAGCGAAAGGAGTCTGCTTCTCAGCCATCTGGCCCCCTGGCGCTTGTAAAGGCTTCAGGCTACGGTGCTGAGTCCCCGTCGGAAGGCTGGCCCACACTCACACCTGCAGAGAGGCTACACGGCTGTCCCAGGAGAATGAGACTCTGGCATGTTTGGCTTTGTGACAGGCTCCTGAATCACTGAACACAGGAGCGACGTGGTTGGATTAATGTTATATAGGCATAGGCTCGACCCTATGAAAGCACAGGGAGTCAGATGGGGAGTAAGCCAGGCCAAGGCCCAATCAAGCGGTGCTTGTTCAGTATCACCAGGCCCGTCTGAGCCAACCGTTTTGGTGGCAGCAGACACCTGTGTTTTGCAACACTTGGTTACTTTGGACTTGCTCGTGCCACAGGCTCTCGCAATGCTAGTGGAAATTCATCATGTGTACAAGCTGCATGCTCTTCTGACTCGCACCTTCCGAGGACAGACAGGTTGTCCATTTGTTGTTCCTGAACCTGCTGTGCTTGCTGCCTCGTGACTTAGCTTAGTTGGATCAGGTCGGTGGAGGCCTGATCCCCCTGCAATGTTTAAACCCCGAGACAACGAGCAAGATGTGAAGCTCTGTGCTGCTGCTAATTTAGGAGGACGGTTCACTCTCTCGCTCTCTCCCTCTGACTCTTTCTCTTTCTCCCCTCTCTCTCACTCTTTCTGTTTCTCTGTCCCTCTCTCTCTCTCGCTCTCTCTCGCTCTCCCTCTCTCTCACACACACACACGCTCAAATTCAATAGGTGTAGTCACACACGTGCGCACTCACATCCAGTCTCCCCTCTTTAGTCTTTTCTTCAACGTGTTCCCATGTTCGCTTCGTTATAGCTTATCAGCTTGCCGTGTGCAGGCGCCACTAGAGTTGGAACGAAGAACACTACGGGTTGGAATTTGTTGTGCTGTCTTCTTGCCAACAGCGGCCGTCCACAGGACTCCCTAGGAAGTCCCAGCAAGCTTGTTATGGCAGGGGCACTTGAAAGCCACGCTCGGGCGGCTAGTTGCGCAGCTTGTGCCTCAGACTCCTTACAACTGCGGCCCAGGCATTGGCAAGCACCATGCAATGCCCGCCGGCTTTCGACCGAGGCAAAAGCGGGAGCTTCAAGGCGAGCTGCAGGAAAAGGAGCGGAGGGCCCAGAGCAACTGTGTAAACGATGAGAGTGTGTGCATCAATGTGTGCTTGCCTTTCCTCCATACCGTGCCAGGTTAGCCCACCTGGAGACCTGTCGCGAAGCGACAAGGCTAGCTCAGGAAAATGTCACCCCGGCCTGTGCTGCTTTCTTTAGGCTCTCTGGCATGGCCTCTCTTTTGGAATCTGCAGAAGAGCACCGCTGCGCCAGGGGCACTTGAAGAGTGAGCTGAGCCGTCTGCAACAGAGGTCTGGTGCTTTGTGCATCTTTGTGCATGCCTGCATCCGCCCTATGCCGAAGCCACGCACCATAGAGGTTGCGCCAACAGACGGACATTGAGGGTTCCTCGGAGGCGGGGCGAATTCGTTAGAAGGCATAGGTTTTTTGCTCGTCAAAATAGTTCCCTCTGTTCACGGTATTTCACGGTCACCAATTTAAAAGCAGTGAGGCTCCTGCTTGTCACAATGCCACGGTCGATTCGGGGAGGCCCAGAGCAACGGAGATGCTGGCAAAGGCGACCGCTGCCGTCCCAGCTGGCAATGAGCAGCCGTACATGGCAGTTTGGCAGATGACGAAACTCGACTTGCATGGTTCAAGCACTTTGGCATGCTTGACACACATCAGAGGCAGATTAAGTTGCTTCCTTTGGTCCTATTGCGCAAGCAGCCAAATCATGGATGCCAAACGAAGCCACTAGCGCACTAGCACATTCACAACTTCGTGGATTCGTTTGGTATTGATAGCTAGTCCCAGACGGACTTGGAATTGTCTCAACACAGCCTCAGACCATGCAATCTCCAGCAAACATGCGGCACTTTGCTGTCCGGGCTCAGGGCTCCAGGCAGACGAAGCTTAGACCTTTGCAATACTGCTTGCTAGGCAAGCATCCCATACGGCAGAATCGTCCTGATCTCACTGCGATACCCATGGCTTCGGGGTTGAACGCCCTTCAGCGGCATGTCCAAACTTGAGGAGGACGCAGTGTGCCCTATCGAGGCCGAGGTTGAAGTCATCAAAGTTCACCTGCATCCGCAGGACGTTTCCCGGTTGCAGGCTTTGGCCACCAAACTGGCCCAATGGCTCCTGGCAGAGGAGGTGACATGAGATTTTCGCCGGATGGAGCAGATAAACCGTGATTCTGCTTTGTACCATCTCACTCACTCGTTCTTGACATCCTACGAGGGGTTTGGACGCAGTTTGGACGACTTCTTCCGTGCTCACAGCCAGTATTTCGATGATTACCAGGCCAGGCAGACCTGCGTCAGCACAGCACGGCTGCCGAGTTTCGCGGGCTACCTGTAGCCAGTGCTGACTGCAGGAGGAGCATGCTCTCCACTATACAACCTTGCACAAGGACCGTCCCTTGAAAGAAACCTCGACGCTTCCCATGCTAGAAACGCTGCATGAAGCACAGCCAGGAGTTCAGCGCAAAATTGGAGGCGGAGGTTGAGGGCTGGCTGGCCGAAGAAGGGCTGACCACTGATGACCTGGCCGTGATCCTCAAGGCTGCCAAGGACATCCCAGCATCTTCTGTCCTTGCTTAATTCTTTGACTGCCTGATAGCTGCCACCATTTTAACCTTTGGATCCCTCGGTGCAACGGAGGAGAGCGTGACTGGCGAGGAGACCTCTCATGACTTTCTTGTTTTGTGTTGCCATCTGGCCTTCTTGCATCCATGCGCATTTGCAAGGACCCTGCTGCAGAAGTCGACTTAGTGGAAATGTGCCTCGTCTCCAACATCCGCGATCAGCTCCAGCTCAACTGCTGAGCTTCGGTCAGCGCTCCAACTGGTAAGGATGCTGGAGGCCGTCGACTACCAGAAGTGGCTTGGCTGCACATTGTTTCCCGGTGCGGGCGAGCTTCTTCGCGATGAGGTGGATTGGCTCCATCTTCGCGATCAAGAGGCGCATCCGCGAGCGACGCAAAGTCCGTGCTCGCAAGGTTCCCGAGCTTGGTAACATGCCACATGCCAGCCCTCCATGTCTAACTTCATACTTCCTTGATTACCCATCTTGCTGAAATTGCTTTCAACTGTGTTTGGATTTGGCTTTCGAGCATGGCGGATATGAAGATTTCAGCTGTTAAGTTGTGCTGTTCCTGAGCCGTTGCCGAGCTAGGCAATGCTCTTCCTTTGATCGCTTGTTGCTGTGTTCAAACAATGTGCTAAAATTCGACAGCCCCGCCCGATTGGTCAGATCAAGCCGCAGGTTCGTGTCGGCTGTCCGTAGCGAGAGATGCTGATGACTGGGATTGGGTGACTTGGTATCGAGGCTCCTCCACCGCCTCCGCCGCCCAGCGAATCCAAAGTTGTCGCAGAAGCCTCAGCACATCTCAGCATGTCTACCGTCTACGGCTCGGAGTCCGTCACCAAACACAGCAGTTTTCTCCTGCAGAGATGTGGGGCTTAGCAAACCAGTGACGAGCAATGGGCTGGCTGTGGGGAACCAAGGATGTGGTGGTGCCGGAGGCTGATAAAGCCACGAGCAGCCTATCTTACGTACTGAATCATGAATCCGCTTGTTCAGCGGAGGGCGTGGCGCCTGGAGAATCCCTGCGCATCTCAGTGGACGGTACTCTCCTCAGGAAGACCAGGCAAGCCGTGGCTTCCAGTCCCTCTCGACGTTTGTGGATCAGGTGTGGGCTACGACGTGGTCGTTCCGGAGAGCTTTGAACCTGGAATGACCTTTCAGGCAAGCTTAAGCAAAGGCTAACCGAAGACAGAGCGAGCCATGACTTCTCCCTGGCGTGATGCGGCCTACATTTCTGAGCATCGACGCGCACAAGCTCGCACTGGACCTGTGTTCGCGGCATCACAAAATTGAGCCCGATTCATCCTCGCAGATCAACAGAAGTTGTCTTTGGTACTAGTAGGTTTTGTCTTCAAAACACTGCGGCGGTGCATAGCAAGGGATGTGAGCTGTGTCCGCAGGTTCGTGGACGCTGAAGGTTTTGTCAGACTTGTCACTGCAGGTCAGAGCACCTCAGGGCCAAATTCAAGGACGTTTTTGCAAAGAAGGGCTCATCAACACGCAGTTGTTTAATGCGGCAGTGGAACCGGCACTTGCAACAGAGCTTCGGGAGTGTGGTTGCATCTGAACTTGCGTGCACGTTCATGTGCTTGTGCTTGCGACGAGATGTTGCAGGATTGGATGACATGGAGAAATGCGGGAGGCGGAATATGCACGATTGTTGATTGCAGCCGGTGTGGTGTAAGCCCGTCAGCCGAAGGGAGCAAGGTTTGATTGAGCCTCAAACTCCATGCTGTCAATCAATCACCATTCGCGGGTCAGTGGGATGGTGGCTGCCTTGCCAATTCCTGCGGTGTCCAGCAGACGCCAGTGTACATAGTCTATGCCTAGGAGTCAGGCATTGAAGGTGAGATCCAGAGGCAAAGCCTCGCCACGGCAAGAAGTCGACTTCCCCAACATGACCAAAATGACGAGCGTCCTCCCCAATTCTTCAATTTCCCAAATCTGACTGAATCCCCGAACCGCAGGCTGTTTTCAACCTGAAGCCCCGAAGACTGTGTGCCTTCTCAACAAACGATTAGAAGCAGCTGTTTTAGCAACTGCTGTTCCAGACCTTGCGAAACCCGAAGTCCTGGCTTATCCTGAAGCAAAGCTGCAGAAGTCATCCCGAACCAACCTGAATGCCGGTGCTGCGACAATATGGCCAGTATGGCAGTTCAAAGATGTTCTGGCCGCAGCCGCTGGTCACGTACGGTTTCCATGTAAGCCGAGTTTGGCACATGACTTCGAGGACCTTTGAGCCTTGCATCGACGGCCTCATGGACCGTGACAGTCCTTGCAAACGCAGAAGACGGTACCACAGCAAGCGGGGTCCTTCCTTAGAACTCGCCATGGCGAGTAAGGCTCCAGAGTTGGTTTGGCCCTCACGGCTCAGAGTCTCCTTTTGCAACATTTTCAGCCACAGCCTCCTCAGGTCCGCTGCCCCAAGTGCAATGTGGCAGGCAGCAAGGAGAGCAGACGCGCCGCCCTCCACACGATGTAGCCTGCCGTCTTCTGCGGAAGGAGAGGATGGCCGCAGAGGGAAATCACCACAAGAGATCATGTGCCGTGGCTTTGGCTTAGGGGCGGCTCTTCGGTACCTCGCGTTGAACTCTGGACCCTTTGTTATTTGGAGTGTCCAGGCCCGCTGTTCCGACCCTACGTGTGCCGGCCACAGTTCGACCGAAAGTTGTCCGTGATTTTCGGATGTGTCCGTCATTCGCTGCTCGTGTCCTTTACGGCTCAGGCTCGTGAACTGCAAGCTCTGCGGAGTGGCTGGAGGGCCTGCGTGGATAATGACAAGCGGTAGACACCATGCTTGGAGCTGTCCACGGTATTCCTACAGCGACGTCTCTTCGCTGCATTTCCAGCATCCGGGGTCCTCTGAGTGACACTGAGCATCCAGCTTGCAGGAGTAGGAGTGTAGAGCTTGCTCTCAACTACCCGTACCGTCTGCAAGTCACTGCAAGCCTGTAGGCTTTGCCACCACATGAATGGAGACAATCGGAGATTGACCACCCTCCAAAGCGCAGTATCCTATTCTTCCCTCGACAAGACTTGAAACAGCATAAGCATTCGATTGACCCGTGGCATCCGACTGTTACGACTGCTTCTCCTCCGGTAAGGACGAGGACAACAGCGATGATGATGATGATGATGCTGATGATGATGATGATGATGCTGATTATGCTGAGGCAGTGGTGATGGTATTGTGAGTATTGTGGTGGTGATTCATCTGATACATATGCAGCGGCTCAATTTGTTAAAGCCGCATAACATCCAGGAAACCGTTGTCAGAAAATACGTCGCGGTTACAATCTCAGAACCCAGCGGATAAAGATATACGATATCAAAGCCATGAAGCACAGCACAACAGATTGCAACGACAAGGCCGGAGAATGCAAGTTCTGCGGCTTTGTGGGAGAGGTGTCCCTCGTTACCTCCAAGGGGCCACATCACGCGCGACTCTGCCAGAGGCCGGATGCAACACATGGTTTGCGGTTCAACTGAGTTTCAACTCCCTATTGTGTTCCGTCAACGCATTCGATTTGACGCAGTGCCTTTTTGCTTGAGGGCTTCTTGGAAATTGTTGGGCCATGGGAGTGTCCCCGCAAGGTTCAGCCCAGGTGCAGCAGATTCGCCCAAGGTGGTGGCTCCTTGCCTCAGCCTTCAGCTCCGACTCCTCTTGAACCCCCATTTCGGTGGGCACGGTAGCCATGAAAATTCAGCGCGTGTTCGCGCCATACCACACAAGTCACAGCCAAGGTGTGCAAGTACTGTGGATTGCGGGGTTCTCCGTCAATGGTCACTGGAATCGGCCTCTTGATCGCAAGCAGACTCCCAGCTGAAGCGCAGGGGCTTTGCTGCTTGTGGCTCCTTTAGCCGAGGTGAGCAGCACTTGACGGGGTGCCCTCGAAGCACAGCCAAGCGAGCAGAAAGTATCACCAAGCCGAAAGAAAACGAAGGCCTGGCGAAGATGGCACAAATTGTGTGACGCCTGTGACAACTTCCGACGCAGGCACTTTGTCGAGCTGGTTTGCCTGTTTGGATACTTGGTTGATCTTCGCACGCACCGTTTACGTAGCCGCAGAAAGAGTGTTTCAGTGAATAGGAGTCTATTTGTACGAGTACATGCGCTGTTAGGCGAGGATTACTGTTTCATCTTGCAGTTGACGATACGCTGTTCTGAGATGCTCGTTGCTGAGGCTTGCTGCAATGTGGAGCCTTCAGTCGGCCATGTGCTCAGACAGGATGCAGCAGCAAGTCTCGCTTACTTTGATCGCCATGTTCAAGAGTCGTAGTGTTGCGCAGGGAAGGAGCTGCATGCGGAGAGAGAAGAACCAGCCCGTTCAAGCCACGCTTTCACGTTAACAAATCAAGTAGACGTACGGTAGGGTGCAACGAGTCTACACAGATAGCCTGCACGGTCTGCACGCGCGAAATTACCGAAACGCAGACTTCGTGCTGTGTTCATCAAGCATTACATTTCTCGAGTCTTTGCGCTTGCTTCCGACATTGGGGTGTGCATGCTGCTTCCGCAGATAAAAGTGTAACTCTGCCATCTTGGCTTCTTCCTTCTCGAGACTACTGTGCTGACATCTGCGCGCTGCGCGTCTCAAACACCGTGAGCTCTCCGCCCGTAAGTGCATGAAGAGCATTCACAGCTTCTGTTTCAAAGATGTACTTGAAGCTTGGAGGCCTGCACGATGAAATCGTCGTCAAGCACAACGGTCCCGACGACATCAAGAAAGTGCTGGGCACAGTTGAGAAAGAGCAGGGCAGTTTGCTGCGCAAGGAGTGTGACAAGTTTTGTTTCGGTGCACGGCGCTATGAAAGCTTGCCGCTGCGACCCAAGCACAGACATCGTTCTCTGAGGCCAATGACATCGGCGAGGCAGAGACAAATGTGGAAGAGATCCCTGAGGAGGCAAGAAGAAATTATACTTGCTGAGGGCTTGCTCACAAGTCTTAAATCACGAGGCGTCTGCTACCATGAAATGTTCGTGTTACTTGGGTCCTGTGACCTGTGAAAGGAGAGTTTTGCGCTCTCCCGACTCTTTTTCCGGCAGCCATGTCTGCGGCTATTCTCCGGCGATGTCGGACAGCCCTCGACACTGTCGACATCATCCGAGGGGTGGAAAATTACCATGAGTGGGAAAAAATTCTGATGCTGTCGCTGTTGCCATTGCCAGTTTGGCACTACGTGCAGGCACATGACGAGCAATGAGTCAATGAGTTTTTGGCAGGGTTCAACAAGCCGGAGGTGAGTGATGTTCTGCTCCGGGACAAGCTTGCAGGGATGGATCGCGCGATCTTGACGGGCCAACGAGCCCGTCACAATTCAGGAGTTGTCCCCGAAAGACGCGGCATCTTTGCCCCGAGGCGACTTTGTCTTTTCTGAGAACATGACCGAGTGCAAGCCCCAATCCGAAGCAGAGCCTGTGTTGCTGCAGTGGGTTGTCGTGCAGTCCTGGGAGCTAATCACCCCCGCCCAGCACAAGCTCGATGGCTTTCCCCGAATTCCACCGGAGCACAGCAGCAATGGCCTGCCAATTCGCCTAGCACCCTCTTCGCCAGCATGGAGTCAGAAGTCGAATTCCTCGACGCAGGCTGCAGTTGAAGGCTTGCGTCGCAACTAGGCTCCTCTGCCCGTCTAAGTGCAAACAAGCAAGCATCCATATGTGCGCCCGAGTCAGCGATGCCAGCGGCTCTGATTATGCGGGGCTATGTGATTGTCGGCGCTGGCTCTTTAAATTTGGACAACCAGGACAATCGAATGTCTTTTGGCTCCCCTACCAGGTCCCTGTGAGGATGCCCCAAGAGAAAGGCTCGGCTCGACATGTCCTGACGCGCAAAGCCCGTTTGTCCCCAAGCACTTTACTTTTATGGGGTTCTCTTCTCAATCAGTGTCCGCGCCTGGGTCGCTTGGATTGTCCTCGCTGGCCAGCTCCGGCCTCCTTCCTCCCCTTCTGGCGCTTGGTTGCGTGGGCTGTCCCCGTTGGCCGGCTCGGTTGGGCTGCTTCCTAGTCCTGGGTTGGATGGGCTGTGCGCGTGGGCAGGCTTGTCGGATTGGGCTGCTTGCTAGTGCCGGGTTGGACAGGCTTGGTTCCTAGTCCTGCGTTGGTCGGGCTGCTTCCGAGTGGGCGGGCTCGGTTGGGCTGGCTTTGCAATGTCAAAATAGCGGCTTGCATTTGGCAGGTTCACGTGTAAGGAGGACAGATTCTGCAGCTTCTGATGTAGATTGTACTCTACCCGTACCCGAGGATCTGTGCCCGGTGCCTGCCGTGGCTTTCGTTACAGCTGCGTTTTTGGTGGACCACACAGATTTTTGTTTAACCACTCCAGGGATTCCAGGCCAGCCCGCACAGTGGTCCAGACGGAGACCACGTTGTGAATCATGTCTCGCATAGCTGCTACTTTCCTGATGCTGTCTGAACCTTGTGCATTCCGTTGCGTTGATACTCACAGGCCTTGAGCTTAGTGGCGCGCAGGTAAAAGAATCCCAACCAGGCTCTCCACTTCTTGGCGAGCGCATCCCGGAGAAGATAGCGGGCCGGATCCTTCTTCGACAGGCAAGCCTGACTGAGGCGCAGCGTGAGTCCTTGGCAATCAAGCACAGCGCCCTTTTGACCTTCGACGAGGTGGCAAGGGCTCTTCGTCCTCTGGACCGTCCGGATGTTCTACTAAGGCCTATGCTCTCCTCGAACTTGATGACGAGTGGGGAGCCAACAGCTTCTTACTGGACGCGAGATGAGGAGCATGAGGCTGATGGGGCTGATCCGCCTCACCAAGAAGGCGGGGACGATGAGTGGGACGAGGAACAAGGTCATGGCGGCTTCTACGAGGAGCCGGAGTTGTTACTGAGCTTGATCAGTTGTGTTTGGTGTAGGACGCAACGGCAACCGACCGTCCGCTCATCCATCGGCTCTCAGGACGGTCGGTCGTTCTTCTTCTA